TAATAAATGGTGAAAAACAGAGTGGACTATCTTTAGATGCGACGGAAAAGCTTTATAAAAAAAAATAACGATAAACACCCGGGCACCTGTTCTGACGCGGGAACTGATATGGTGGACACGACGAATTCTTGTTTCACAATGCGAAGGACCGGCAGCAACCCGCCGAGAACTCTCATCTCACGGCAACGAATACCGCAGATCGTGGACGCAGTAGATTCGAGTTTTATGGTGCAATAAACACGGGGGAACCCGCTACAAACTTGCCTGTCACGGGAACCGATGTCGCGCGCGCAGATCGCAGACAAAAACGCGGGTGTGCGCTACAAACTCTCATGTCACGGGAACGGACACCGCAGATGGCGGACGGAGCAGGTTCGCATTTCACGATGCAATATACGCGCTGCAACTCGTTTGTTACGGGAGCCGATATCGCACGCGCAAACCGCGCACAAAAACGCAGGAACCCGCTACGAACTCGCTTGTCAGACGTATGTCGCTCAGGTGATGCGATTCCCGCTGGATATCACTTGACTTCCGACGGGAGTCAAGCGACCCGCCGAGAACGAGGGTTGGGCTATGTTTCTGAATTTTTATGTTACGGATATTTAGCCAGAAAAACGAAATGGGAGATATTTAGGTGGTAGAGCGTCCTACAGAGTTTTACGTGCATATTTTCACGTTACATTTAATTTTTTTTATTTCAGTCAATCGAAGAAATTAGATTTTATGATACATAATTGTCATAAAAGACGGTTTGAGTAATTTTATAAACTTGAATAATGCGTGGGGCTACGGGCACACTGTCTTTTTTTCTGCTCAGTCCACGTAACTCTGGAAGTTTATATTGGTTGTATAAATCAATGCAAATAGAACAGTATATAGAAAATAAAATTTTGCACAAGCAACAATTTGTTTAAAAATAAGCTGTCAAAGTAGACCTCAGTTGACACATCCACAATAGGTGTGGCGTGCGACATCTGAGAACAAACAGGTTTCGGTGGGGTAGGGGGGGCTGGCGAAATTCCTAGTGTACTTGTTTCTGACAGATTGGTGTCAGGTCACATATGCCGGTTTTGCAGCGGAGAGCTGATGAAGTATTGTTAAACCTCTTGTTCTCGCAAACAGTTGGGAGCGAACCGTCATCTCGAATACATTCTGTGCCAATAGGCCACTTGAAGGAACGACCACAATTCTTCACTTTCAGTTTAATTAACCTCTTTCGTTCTCGAGCACAACTATCCAGTGATCCGAGTTGCTGCCTCGTGCATCACAGAGCTTTTCTGTTTTTATTTCGGAGGGGGTGCTCACCTCAAACATTTGTTATCCTCTTCTCATCTTAGATAATTTTGTTTGCTGAAAAGCAGAGAAGGTTAACCAACCAACACAAATCAGCTTCTTGTCGACACCAGCCTACACTTGGCTTGCTCTCAGATAGTAGCTGTCATAAAATGGGTAATGTGAAAACGCACATAAGAGGCTGGGAAACCTGTTGTAATACAGCAACAGTTAGTGGTTAGAAAAACTCGGTAAGCTAAATTTCAGTGAGACTTTGTTATGGGAATCAGCTCGTGCCCCTTTTGTCTTCCACGCTTTGTTTGCTTTGTCTGCCTCGCTAGTTTTGAATCGGTGGTGGTTGCACGCTAAGGGGAAACGATAGGATCTCAAAGTTGCTCAAGGAAGCACAAGAGCCGGAGCTGGAAGGAGGAAAAAAGAATTTGCGCCGTGAGGGAACGTCTGAAATGACAGAAGATGAATGTTTGGTAATTATGGTTGGAGGAGTATGACATAGAGTGATTCTTCAGGAGTATTTTTTTATGATTTCTTTGTTTGAAATATTTGTTGCTGTCTGCTACACCAGTTTCCGTCAAAAATTGCTTATCAAAGTGACCCTTCCATAGCCACTGACATTATAAAAACGGCAGGAAGGTCTTTCAGTCGTTTTGCCTTCAGTGCAAGCTTGTACTTGCAAAACTCTTGCAGCTCCTGAGCTTCAAGCTTGCATCATAGCATAAGGCAATGAGCACATGCTGGAAACTGAAAGACACCTTCTTGAAAAGTGTTTGCTTTCTAATTACAAAATAAATCATGCCCCACATATAGTGGGAATCCTACTCGTTTTTAGAACCCCTCATAACCTGCAAAAGTTATTTGGGGGAGTTGGCTACGAAGTATTGCAGATAACGCTCTGAAGATTTTTTTTTTAATAATGTGTTTTTACTTTGCATGGAGGCTCAGAAACCTGATGTTCTTATTTATTATTTTTAAAAATTCATGCTTGTGTTTTTTTGTTTTTTTTTTTCTTTTCTTTCAGAAAACTTTGCATACTTTAAAAAGGACTACCGTGAAGTTCCGAAAGAACGTCCACCCAAAATTAAGAGATAAATGGTGAAAAACATGGGATGGGCTATCTTCAGGGATGCCGCAGCAAAGGTTAATAAAAAATTAATGATAAACAACCTGGCACCGGCCACAGACCACATGACGTGAGAACTGATACCGCAGATAGCGGACACTGCAGATTCGCGTTTCGCGGTGTGAAGGATCCGCGGAAACCTGCCGAGAACTCGCATCTTAAAGGGCCCTGCAGGGACTTTTTTACTGGTTTTTAATTTGCGCCGAACCTGAGCACACTGAACGTAGTAACTTAATGAAGCTTTTCTTTTCCCGAATTTCGCTTTACTTTACAAGTTATAGGCATATTAAAATTACAAAAACAAGCAAAAAATAACCTCCTTCATGACGTCCTTGGTTTGCTTGAGTGGCCGTGAACTAGAGGGAGGGTAGCGAGCTCAGCGAGCGCTCACTGCTGCTGCACTTTGGGTTGACGGCTCAAGAATGCGCCACTAAAGCGTGTTCTGGGTTGGCTGTATAAAACGGGCAGCCAGGGCGGCTCGCATTGCATTTGCTACGCGATTATATACTAATTCGGCATGACACTTCATTGGCCACAAACGACAGCAAACACGGGGTAAAGATCAGTTCAGAACGGGAGCCACTTCGCGCTGCCATACCGCCAAAGGGCCGAACCGCAAGCGAAAGCTGCTTGCCTAAGGCCTTCGGAACACTCGGAACTGGTTGGGTTCTCGACTGCAGCACCGCCGCGTATATCCGGGACCTTTCTACGCTCGCTGATCATCGGTGCCTGATCCCACTACACCTATGCGCCGCCTTTTGCACCGCTTGGTGGCGGGTATGTCGGCGGGTCATTTCTTGTTTCCATACTTTTTTCTAAACTGCATTTGTTTCTTTTCTGATCTAAAATGCTGAACAAAAACTACTTTTATAAATAATTGAAACGGTTCGCGCCACTTATATTTTGTATTTCGACTAAAAAGAAGCTTTTAGCGGCTTTGACCAGTAGTAAGCCCAGGACCAAAGACGTCACATTTTGGGCGCTTTCGGCGCCACGGGTCGCCCCTGTAGGTGGAGGAGGTTTCCACGTCGTCCGGTTCAAATATGACTCACTGATATTTAGTTACTCCCTCCGTGCCCGTTGGCTTCCCCGATCCCCAAGAGACATGGAAACCGCAAAAAAAGTAGACGCTTAAATATGATTGCAGGGCGGGGGGCCCCTTTAAGGTAACGGATATCGCGGACACAGCAGATTCCAAGTTTTATGGTGCATTAAACACGCAGGAACCCCTTACAAATTTGTCTATCACAGGAACCGATATTGCGCATGCAGGTCGCGGAGAAAAATGCGGGAATTCGCTACAAACTCGTATGTTATGGGAACAAATACCGCAGATCGCGAACACAGCGGACGAAGCTGGCGTGAAATCGAGATTGCACGCGCAGATCGCTCACAAACCCTCTTGAATCCGCTACAAACTTTATATTACAGGAAAGTATACCGCAGACTGCGGACGTAACAGATTTGCAGTTCTCAGTGCAACGTACACGCGGGAACAACTCGCTTGTTAAGGGATCCGATATCGCGTGCGCAGATCGCGGACAAAAACCCGGGACCTCGCTATGAACTCGCTTGTCAGACATGCCAGTACAGCAAATAGTGTGGTTGATGCGACTCTCGTGGTACATCGAGGTACACCGACGAGAATCGGGGGGTGGGCGATGTTTCGGAATTTTTATGTTAGATATATAGCCAGAAAAACGCGATGGGCGATCTCTCGGGGGCGGGCATTCTTTCGGAACTTTATGGTATAACAAGAAAGAAAAGCTTTGTGTCATTCTCTTTCCATCACAAGGACCATGGGGGTACATCGAACCAGAACGATTGTTTGGGACGTTCTTTGGCAGCAATATGCGAGAAATAGCTGTCAAAGCGCTCCTTATACCTACAAGCTCGTGTCTGCGCATTCGTCACAACCGTGCAAGAAACCTTCCTCATTTTAACAACTTTATCGATCTGTTGAACCGACAGACATTCTTAGGTAGCAGTTTTCATTGACAGATAATGTCAGGCAGCAGTTTTTGCCAACAGACATTGGTAGGTAGCAGCCTTCAGCACCAGACGTTGTTAGGCAGCAGTTTTTATTGAGAGCTAGACATTGTCAGGCAGTGGTTTTTGTCAACAGACATTGGTAGGCAGCAGTTTTCATCACCAGACATTGTTAGGCAGCAGTTTTTATTGAGAGCTAGACATTGTCGGGCAGTAGTTTTTGTCAACAGACATTGGTAGGCAGCAGTCTTCATCACCAGATATTGTTAGGCAGCAGTTTTCAATGAGAGCTAGACATTGTCAGGCAGTAGTTTTTGTCAACACGCATTGTTAAACAGCAGTTTCCATCGAAACACATGGTTAAACAGAAGTTTTCATCAACAAACATTGCTAGGCAGCAGTTTTCCTCAGCACACATTGTAAAACAGCAGTTTTCTTTGACAGACATTGTTAGGCGGCAGTTTTAATCGATTTCCGACAGTATGAAGCCCTTTTGCACACATAGCTTTGTGGAGGTACCGCCCGTAAGTATTGATCGTCTCAAAGTTTCATTTGGGAGTGCAGCCCTAAAAGAGCGGCCTGCGTCTGTTTCTTGCAGAAGGCGTTGTCCGTTGCGATGAGCGGCGACGGAATCGCTCCGCTGCAATGGCAGGGGGCGCGTGCCGTCGCCGCCGGCCGGCCATGATCGCCGATCGGGGCCCCCTCCACGCGGCCGGCAGTGGGCTCCGACTTTCAGCCGCCACCCCGGCCCCCGTGGCGCCCTCGCCACACCAGCAGCAGCAGCCGCCGGTGCCCCGCAGGTAGGGAGCGGCGCCCTTACTGTGGTCAGTGACTGGTTAAAGGGGAGGCTCCGGCGAAGTTTCGATAGTCGCTGATTTGCCTCGAAAGTGGCTTAGCATATTAATAGGCACATCTGAACTAGTAACTCAAAATCCAAGGCACAATAATCTTTTTTTGCAAAGTTATTGTGAGGTTTTAAATTTGGTCGGAGAGGTTAAGAGGCTCTCATGGCAACACCGAAATCGAGCGATAAAGGCAGGGCAGTGGAAAATTGGGACTCTCTCTTGCTTGGCTCCGGTCCAAAGTCTCAACCCTGCCTCCCAGTGGGCTCGGTGCCGGGGTAATATCAACTAGGTTTGACCAGATGTGAATTGGCTACTCCGTCAGGGAGAGGGGGGCTGCTGATGTTTTTTAGTTTTTTTTCTATACCCCGAAAGGTCATCCTGGTGGTATTCCACATCACCTGGTGATAGTTACGAAATTACAGAGGGGAAGAAAATTGGATTAGAAGGGCGAAGGGAGGAGGCACACTTTTGGTTTTTAATTTCTAGGCTGGGTGGCACGAGCTAACGCCCGATATAAAGGGTGCAGCCGTTAGCATCCATCTATCTAGGGGCTTTTCAGCTTGTTCCCGACAGGTTACAAGAGGTTTGTTGGTGCAAAATTAATGCTGATTAAACTCACATTAGCAAAACGAGAAAAAAAAAATGCAAAAACTGCTGCGTTTTTTAGGCTGCCTGCTCGACTTGCAAGTTATGCAACATCAGACGCCACCCCACTGGAGAGTGGGGGAAATCTTGAATGTCGGTTTTGGCAACTACTACGTTTGCTGTCTCCTCAATAGCTTCATTGAATTTAGATATAAATAGCATGCTGGAAAGAGTAAAGCCCGAGTATTCCAAAACTGTGTTTAGCTTAGGTTTCTCAAAAAACCGCTGGACCCTTTAAGAACGCAGTAGGTGGTTCGCCTCGAGCGCTACCTTTCTGCCTCTGATAACATTTTGTTGCATATGCAGCTAGAGCTCTGTGGAATGCAACTAACGCATGCTGGATTCATGCACTCGTTGCGATGCAGACCACTTTCTTAGGGCTACCCTCCCTAGTTACGAAATCTGCCGATTTCTTAGCCTATCACCAACTGCAGATCACTTCAGTTATGGGACCATCTGTAGATGCCGCACGACGGAGGGCGTTCAAAGCAGGGCTCGATCTTTTGACGTCTCATGAAAGAGTGTGTAGGCTTTGCGGTGGTGTCATGCCGTCTATAGCCGTCAACTGCGGCAAGTAGTTTCGTGGCATCCTAGCGAAATAAGGTTAATGCAGTAAAGACTTTGTTGAATACGGTCAGGTTAATGTGATTTCCTTCTTTTGTGCTTTTGGTGCTTTGCGTAAAGAAAAACCCTGTCAGTGCCATGAAAAGTGTGCTCCACTCAAAATACTCCCAAATCTCCACACATAAGATCAGAGAGTGGTCCCTCTGCACATGTATTTACTTGCTAGACTTTTTTTCAAAGCCTACCTGCTCATGCTGAAATAGGCTATGTGCTATAAAATGCCGGTCATCTGTCCTCACCTGTGTAAGTACCTCTTCCATTTGCTGAGAATTTCACTTTTTTGTCTAACATAATTGAAAAGTGTTGGTATACATACAGTCTTTTTAAATGGTGCAGATGAGATGGCATATTTGGACTTTTATTGACCGCCGTCTTGAATATTAATCTCATCCCTTGAGATTACTATTCTGTTTTTCTTTTATTTGAAAAGGAGGGTGAACTCTAAATGCTTTTTTTTGCAAAAATAGCCTGCTATAGTGTGTGTTGCCTCAAATAATTACTTCAACTGAATGTGCAGGGTGCACAAGAAAAATATTTACATCAGTTACAGACAGCTGATATTTCACTTTCAGGTGTTGTAAGCAGCAACCATTAGGACTTCGGACTGTAGCATCACTCAAATGCATAAAAAGCATTCTGAAAAGTGTTTGCGACAGGGTAGGATAAGTTTCCCATTGGCTGTAGTTTGTGACCAGCCTCTTCACACATACTGCGCAGTGCCGAACCATTGCTAAGAGCAGCGCTGATGCAGCGCAGACTCGAATCTAACTTAACACTAGGGATGTCGCAAACCGGTCGATGTTCGAGTTTGACCAGGTTCGACTTATTCTAACTTATTGTGAAAAGTTTGACAAAGGTTCGACTCGGGTTTGACTGCTATGCGCATGCGCGACAGGCTGGCCAGTTGGCTTCGGATTGGATGGTGACGGCTAAGGGATGAATTAAGGACAATACTGGTTGGTTATTTCAGTTAATGCAGTACAAAAACAAATGTTAACTTTTTGTGATTAGAATTAGTTTCTGTTAATTGCAACTGTTCATAAAATTAAAATAACCCTTTGCATAAAAAAAATTTTCCAAACCTAGAAATGCTAGTATCAAGGTCTGGCCACACTGTTCACAAAGTCGAATCAATCGAATCTGGTTAAAAGCTGGAAAATTCGACAAAAGTTTGCGACATCCCTATTTAACACTTGTGCAAGACAGTTATACAGCACTATATCACCGCTGTATTACTATTTTCTTTGAGGACTAATAGCATTGAGATAAAGCTGTGGTGTATCCGTGAACAGACTATGCAGCACATGGCTGGTCTGGCTTTGCGTGTGCCTAAACCTTGCAGCGAGGTTTAGGCGTCTCTTGACACCCCTGGGGCCCGCTCGTCCCGCAGGGGCACGGGGTCGGTGAGCACGGGTTCGTCGCCGCCTCCCCCTGCGCCGGCAGAGGCCCCCGGCGTGCCGCCCCGGCGCCTTCCCGCACTACAGGGGCGCTCCAGCCTGAGCGTGTCGCGGTCCCAGTACGTGCTGGGACGCACGGAGGCCCCGCTGCTGGTCAGCTGGGACATCCGGGAGGAGGTCTCCAAAGAGGACTGGATTGGCCTGTACCGCACGGGTGGGTGGTGGCCTGCCTGCCACACGTCGGGGCTCGAGCTGTTCGGCAAAGCTGACGATTGAAGTTTTGGGCCAAATTGAGAACAGAGTCAAACTGAAGTGTTCGGCCATATTGAAAATCAGGTTGAACTGAAGTGTTTGGCCGAATCGGAAATTCTAGCCAAACTAGAGGTTAAGTTGAACTGTTCGGCCAAATGGAAACTAAGCTGAATTGCAAGTTCAGCCGATTGAAAGCTTTAGCCTAGTTGAAGTTGCGAGCCAAATTGAACTGACATGGCAGAATCATAGTTTTAATGCGAAAATATTAACTGTCTTATAAAGCGAGCCGACGAAAAATATTTTGCCGAAAGATCTTTTATTTCGGGTTTTAGTCTGTTTTATTAGTCTTAAATTTTCATTATTTTTGTACAAAAAATAAGAACCGAACATGGTTGCAAAATTAGTCGTACAAAAAATAAGAACTGAACATGGTTGCAAAATCAGTCAAATCCACATTTGAAGACCTGGTGATTTAGAAGGGCATAGATCTAAGCCAGGTTCGTGTGCGCGGTTCTTCAAATTGTGATGTTGGTGCCATCGCAATTATTTTAAGAAGGCCTGGCCATCTCCTCTCCATCGCAATCTTTTTTAGCTTCGATTTCTTACAAAAAATAATAACAAAAATTGTTTTTCCCAGTGCAAAGGAGTGCCACCATACGTCTGAGATAATATTCAAATGCGTTTTTCCCTTTGTGTAATTTTAAAACATCTTCACAGCTTGTGCACAAGAATTTTTGTGTGTTAATATTGCCTTATGACAACCAAATTTGGCATGCATAAGCTTGAGGATATGTAGAATACAACTATCAAGGTTTAATAAGAATGCATAATTTTTATGTTTATGAAAACATTAAGTGCCTTTTAAAGCCCTTTGAAAGGGGTGTTTTTGCACTTTTTACTTATTTTAAAATAAGAGTTCTCATACACATTATTTTTGTTGCTCACTGCACTCAGTTCTTTAAAAAAAGTGAATTAGACTTTTTTTCACTAGGCCCTTTAAGTGTGTTGTCATGCCCCATGCACATGCAAAAACATGGCATTCAGAACATGAAAAAACCAGCTATATCAGAACTAACACCAGATTTACAAAAAGGAGATCAAGCCACTTGTAGCCAGAAAATCTTGACGAGGAAATGTAATTTTGCCAGATTGTTTAATCACATACCCATTGCGGGAACTGATTGCTATGTTGGGCTGAAGTTGGCTAACCTGCGACTTCACTCGTATTTTCTAGCCAGATACTATGTACTTTAAAGACTTTTAACATTTGACAATTTTTTTTTTTTCTCGTCACATTTAAAGGGGCGGTGCAACAATTTGCAGGCTTTGGCTAATTAATCGCGGGAATTGATCCCGGCCACATATGAAACGAAAGGCCGAAAACTAATCTTTCTTGCTTGCCCTAGTTTTCATTAAAAAAATGAAAGAAATTGATATCTCTGGCACCCCTCAACTCAACATTGAAGCGGCACCAGCTTCGCCTGTGACGTCATTCGGAGTGGCGTTGGTTTCCGGTTGGGTTCTCCTGGCTTCCGTTTCCCCAGCGCTCGCCGGCTCGCCGGGCTCGCCGCTGTCCCGCTCTCCCGCAGGTTCCCGACCAACATGGCGGCATGGGCGGACGGCCTGAGCGACGTCGAGCGCAAGATGCTTGCGTATAGCAAGTCTTGGACTTGTGCGGCGGGCAGTCGACGCGGCGGGCAGTGGAAGTGGAAGTCGAAGTCGAGACACCACGATACTACGGACCACGACCAACGCACTCCGTCGAGCGAGGGAAAGACAAAACGTCCGGGTTGCTCGTGTAGCCGCCGTAGGCGCCTCGGGCGTCGACGGATGACGGCGACGGCAGGTTTTGTTGACTTGCGGTAGATGGCGCCACAAATAATTCATACCCTTTTAGCGGCAATATTAGGCTTCTGGAGCGTTTCTGCATGCCTAAACAACAAGAGTTTTTTAACTTCACCTCAAATCAAGCTTACAATTGCCTAACACTATCACTTACAAAAACCACTCCGAGTGACGTCACACCACAGGTTCCATTTGCGGCCACCATGTGGCTGCAGGTTGGGAAAAAAAGCGTTCTTTATTTTGCGATTACACAGCGAAATAGAGGTATTTTGGGATATGGTGGCACTTTTTCTCTTACTTATGCGGAAGTAAACAATATAAAAAATGCAAGCTGCACATTCGTTCAGTGTTAAAATCATTGCACCGCCCCTTAAGACCATCGAGCATCAGTTAAGATTAGAGCTGGAAAAACTTGGTGAGCAAGTGTCATTTTGTCAGACCGTTTAATCGCACACCCATGGTAGGAACTGATTGCTGTGTTGGGCTCAAGTCGGCTAACCTGCGGCTTTGCTCGACTTACAGATGAGACGGATCCTCTGCATTTCCTGGAGCACAAGAACAAGCGATGCCTGAGCAACACTGTCAAGGGGCAGGTCCTTTGGAGCATAGACTGCAAGGACGCTTTTACCGAAGGTACGTCCTTTATACCCTTTATCTCTTTTATCTTGTGAGAAAACTTTGCAGGGCAGAAACTGGAGCTGAAATGTTTTTCCCATTCTCGTTAAGTAGTATGTATAAATACAATCATCATGAATGATACCATCATAAATGAACATTTGTAGCCTAGGCAGCTTAGAAATATGGTTTTTTGTTAATTGAAACATTTGTTCCTGAAAATTATTGGAATGTTGCAAATAAACCCCCATGAACGCAAGGAGGCAGTTGCAAATAATAAAAATAGAAATGAATTACCCATTAATTGGGCAGAGGAGTGAACAACAATTTTATTATCATTTCGCAACATCTTTTTGGAATGTGTGACATTGCATGGATGGAAGAACAATGAGGTATGAAATACTTTCTGGGAGAAGATTGCTGTCAGATAAAGTAACTCGCTGAGCATTCCAATACAAAGCAAGCAAAAGGAAACATCAGTTTTAAAAAAAAAAATGAAAAGAAACACGTGGCTATTTTGGCAGTACCATTTATGGGGGGCCTGAAGCCAAAAATATGCTCCCTGCTGCTCAGAGTCAGCAAATCACAAGAAATTGCAGCACTGAAGCAGGTTTTGCTTTTTTTTTGCATATTATGGATCTTCTAGAAGCATTCAGAGCCTTTTGTTGGGTCTGCAGTGGTGTGATGCAGCATGTCTGTGCGATTCCAGAGAGGACCAATGTGTGTTTCCGCTACTACCACGGCCCTACGGGTACCCTGAGGGCCGTGAGCCCGGTGGTGACCGTCTGCAGGTCAGCCGACACCACTGGAATCGTGGTGAGCGACACCCTTTGGTATAGTATTGTTGTTTCTTTGTGCGACCTGTCGATGTACCGCATGCGTCTGGCTCGCATGTCTCCACGACACTGTTGGCTCGATCGAGGCATTGCCCGGTTTTCTCTGCTTTTCTCTCAGTATTGAAGGACTGTCATCAAAACAATCATACTGGTGGAAAGAGTTCAGGTGGGATAGTAACCTAAGCGGTAAAGTTTGATACCTGCCAGTAGCCTTTCGAAGCAAAATACTAAGAAGCGTCGATGTTGTGTTTGCGCCAACGGTGTCGCACAGTATGCATACGGACCTATGTGAGGTGGAGGGCGTACAGTTTACGGTGTACCAATGCCATCTCCTTCCCGACGGTGGTGCTGTAGATCGTTATGGTTTAAGGAAAGGATGAAAATAGCCGGGCTATTTTAAGTGTTGTAGAGCTCGTGCTACTGTGCTTACAGAGAAGAAGTTGCAGGCCTGCAAAAGCTAAGTATGTACGTAAAAAATCATGAGCCATTCCACTTTGTGAAGATGAATGACCAACGAAGCTGTTTAGCACATGACACAGACGTGACACAGAATTTCAAACAAAGGTACAAACACATTTATTGCCATGATCGATGGTCATCATGACGAAAGGATACGCACACACATTTATTTGATGTGTCCTCCGCCCTGCGACGTTTGTCGTATTGTCTGGTTTGCTGCATGCGCTTGGCATTTTGTGCACAATGTTTCTAAAGCAAAAGCCTAAAACAAATGGCATCTTGCACGCACGTTCGTCAACTCTTCCGTGGATTTTTCATGTGCGTCAACAAAAACTCTACGCTCGCACCGCCGCACGCGTACGCCTTCCCGTATAAAAGATTCGAAGTAAATAGCCAAAATAAAGCGTTGACGAACGTGCGTGCAAGATGCCATTTGTTTTAGGCTTTTGCTTTAGAAACATTACTGCTGCAGACACCGGCACGTTGAGTGCGTGGAACACCATCCCCTGCATCCTCCTTAATGCTTGGGTAATTTAGGAATATGTCTATTCAGTAGATTAGTTATCAATAGGCACCATTTTCAAGATCAGCAGACTCTCAGTTAGATACTTAAGGTTTCTCAAAGATTTGCCGCTGTGCGACCCGTGTCGGCCATGCCTACGCTTGCACCGCCCTCTCTTTGTCGCCGTTCCAAGTGCTTGCATGCCTAGTTTCCTTTCTTTCCGCTTGGGTGGCGGTCCCGTCGCACGTGTCTAGTTTTCTCCGGCTCCTCGGGGCGGCGATAGTCGTCCACGCGAAATGATGACTACCAATCAATACCTTTCGTTACGATGACCACCGAACAAGACAATAAACGTGTTTGTAGCTTTGTTCAGAATTCTGTGTCACGTCTGTGTCATGTGCTCCACCTTCCATCCACCATCCACCTTCAGTCTGAAGGTGAAGGTGTGTCATCCACCTCCACAGAGTGGAATGGCTCATGATTTTTTTAGATCGGCCGCATTTTTAACTGGTGACGAAATACAGACTTTAGCGCCGCCAAATACAAGCCTCTGCTATTTGTCAAATTCCCCGATACATTAAGTATAGGTTGGTGTATAGACAACGTAACACCGGATCACGTGGCGTCACTTGATGTCGCAATTCAATTTCCCCGTTAAATTTAGCAGGAAATGCATAAATGGACGAGCGGACAAAATCTTGGGATTGCGGGGGGGGGGGGGTTAAAAAGCATTCGCTTTAATAACGAAGCCAGGCCATTGCACTTCCTCCAGGCGGGTACCATAAGGCAACCACAAAAAGCAGAGTGGAAGGCAGTTGGGAGACCGTGACACTTTACCCGCCTATTTTTCTCGAGTGACACAGACATTGTACGAGGCTCGAACAGTCATTCATTTACACTTCACATGCTTTCATGGACTAAGCCACGTTTCTGTCACATTTCTTCGTAGAACGGCCACGGGTCCGAGGTCCTGGTCGGTTACTCCTCGCAGCAGATACCGATGGAGATGGTCAAGTTCTATTTGACCAGTAAGTACCACGCCGTTTCCAAATGTTTTATCGAGTATGCGTCGAGGCTGGGGGTTTCAGTGTGCCCAGAGGGTGCCTCCGGCTGCTGCCTTTAACGCGTCCTCAAATGGGGTTCCTTACACCCCCAGCAATGACTGAAGCCAAGAGACGCTGTTGGACGAAAAAAAGAGCTGACTTGGCTCCAACAGCTGTTTTGGTCACCCTGCGGGCCCCTTGAGGGTGACCAAAATGGATATAGGTGCCAAGTCGGCTCTCCTTTTTGTCTGCGTCCCTTGGTGCGCGTCCCTTGGTCTGCGTCCCTTGGTGTTGGTCATCGTTGGGAGCGTGTCACTCCGCACTTCTGGCTTCACCTCCGGCAGCCTCATGTCACCTCCAGAGGTTTCCTACCTCCATGGCTGGAGGCGAATGTGGTGCACGTCCACTCTGCCATAGGTTGCTCCGTGGCCATACGGTCGACGGAAAGAGCGGCAGATGCGAGATGGGGCGGTGCGAGGACAGGCGACCCTCGCCGTCCGCTCTTTTCTTTCGCCAGCATATCTACAATCACCCGCCAAGATCGTAGCATCCGACGGCGTGACAGGTCGCTTCCCGCGACGCACTTTGTTGCCGTTCCAGGACCGCTTTTGACGCGCGAGCGGACGGGGCGGTGAACGCGATGGTCAAAGACGCTTCCCAGGCCTCATGTCAGGGTCACAAAAAAACGTGGCACCCGTTGTTTTCAGACCTGCATGCCCGCAACCTGAAGAAGGGGATGTTCTTCAGCCCGGACCCGTACGTGAAGATGGGCATCCAGCCGGGCCTGGGGGACGGGGTCCTGCTGCTGCCCCACCACGGCCAGATCTGCCGCACAGGGGCTGCCGAGTCCACCGTCCATCCGTCCTGGCCGGGGCAGTTTGAGTTTATCGGATACCCGTCGGACGTGCTCGAGTTTGAGGTCAAGGACAAGTTTGCCCGGAGCCGCCCCATCATTGGCCGCTTCCTGGGCAGGCTCGTGGTGCGCATCTGGGACCTGCTGGACCGATGCTCCGGGTAGGTGGCGCCGGTTCGGCTGCGTCGGTCTCTCACGTACAAAGCGGCCAGGGACGTGTCATATAAAGCACTCATCCACACATGCACCTGCGCCACGCAGGTGCATGTGTGGATGAGTGCTTTATATACGGGGCATTCCTGAGAAAAGAGAACTGTGCTTTTTTTGCCCGTATAAATGAACTATGCATTGCGGAAAACTCAATCTCTGTGGGAGTGTGACACTTGGTTGAATTAGAATGCGAAAGTTTGAGAAGACGACGTTGGATCACATGATAATTGAGAAAGACTTAATTTCTCTTTCTGCCGATGTCCACCTAAGCCTAATGTTGTCAACATAAAAAATGACATTGTGGGTGCCTTTAGCATCTACAGTGGAACCTCGATTATGCGTCCCTGGTTTATGCGGCATCCCACATTTTAGGACAAATTTGCCCGGTCCCGACGAACTCCCCATGGAAATGATGTATTAAAAGTTTGGTTTACACGATGCGTGATTCTACGCGTCCCACATCATACATCGTTCCAGCAGGAAACGCGTGACAAATTCGACGGCTGCATGAGGAGGGGGGCGGCGGCGCGGCAACGCGGAAGATTTTTGCACACCTGCTCACCGTTCCAAAAACACGCTGCCGGCAACCCAAAACAGCCGCAGCGCCGGGAGGAAGCTGAAGACACCGCTTTCCCTTTTTCTCCTCGGGTGTGAAATGCCTTGGCGTTTTCCCATTGCCTCCTGGCTCCGCTCATCCTATCTTTCTCTCATTTACCCTCAATCTCCTGCGCGCCACTTTCTCCAACTCGTTGCTTCTCCCAGGATTGAGCACACTTCCCTTGGTTCCCGCCATTCCTGCTTTCAGAAAGCGTGAAAAGCGACGTGGATAATAATAATCTGCTGAACTTCGTCAAAGCACAGCAAATTATTTGCTTAGACATCATTTAAAACCTCCGTTTGTCTTTTTCGCGTAAGCCAATCACTGTATCCGGTAATTATAGTTTTTTCGGATGATACGACTCGCAGATTGTACAATGATTCTGTGCGGTCCCGCAAAGCCGTATAATCGGGGCTCCACTGTATTTCAGTCAAAAAAACTTGTCAGCGTGGAACAAAATCAATTTATTTTCTTTTTTGCTGACGAGTGTTGTTCACTGAAAAATACATGTCCACAATGTCAGTTCTTGTTTTGACGATGTTAGGCTAAGGTGGACGTCAACTCATAAAGAAATTTCATCTTTCTCAATTATTATCTTGTGATCCAGGCAACGTCATCTTCTCAAACTTTCGGATTCTATCCCAACCACTAGCGTCACATTCTCACGAAGTTCGAGCTTTCCGCGATGCATAGTTTATTTACGTGGGACAAAAACACTGTTCTCCTTTCTCGGGAACTTCTTGTACACTGTTTAATACTTACCGTAAAACACGCGGGCCGCATGCGGCCCGTGACTCGCTGGGACGCGGCCCTCAGGCAGCCTGCTACTAGTCCCGGTTCCCATGTCTCGAGCGCTAGAAATGGCATAGGCCATAAAGATCTCATCTTGTCGAGTCATTTTTCCTCGAAATGTAGCTCTGCTCTCGTATTCGCATAGTTCGTACTCATCTGTGTTTATTTGACCTTTGTTTTGCTCTATTTATTGCTTCCCAGCTTTTTGTAATGTGCAACGATTCCACTGCTAGGCTGTAGGCTCGAGCTATTCGTTGAAGTATGCACCTTGGCTGCGCAGACTCTCGAATAACAGGAGCAACTGCCAAAGATGAAGTTACCGTATTTACTCGCGTAATGAACACACTTTTTCCCCCGAAAAATTGACACATATTTGGGGGGGGGGGGGGGGGGGGGGAATTTATTACACGGGGTAAATTTTTTTACATTTACACACTTCATGCAAATATCATATGAGGGGCCAATGTGACACAACAAGGTTCTGTGCACATCTCCAGTGACGGAGGCGCACCCAGGGCTGGTCGGGGGCGCACCACAGTAACCATGCTTTATGTATTGCAAACCTTTTGGGGTGCCTTTTGCGGAAGGAAAAAGCACCCCACGAAGCTCACTCAGCATGAAAAGCAACACCACCGTTCAAGCGTTAATAAAAAATTTTAAAAAGCACCTGGATTGTAACTTATAAGCCGTCTGCTTATTACAGCGGAGCTATAAAGGGCTAGGAACAGATGTCGGCACAAAACTCTGGATAGCTACCTTCATCTATGAGCGACGGCGGCAACCAGACAACTAGCTTGCCGGCCTCGCTCATAGATGGCGGCAACCTTTCCAGCCTTTCCCCTCTGGTGAAAACCAGAGTGGAAAGGCCCTAAAGGTCAGAGTGGACGACACCTAGCGAAATTCAGCGTTTCCACTCTGGTGAAAACCACAGTGGAAACGCTGAATTTCTCTAGGCGTCGTCCTAGATGTCGTCCTCGAGGTCGTCACAGAAGTCGTCCTTGAGGTCGTCCTTGAGGTTGTCCGGGAGGCCGTCCTAAAAGTCATCCTTGAGGTACCCTAGAGGTTGTCCTAGAAGTCGTCCTTGAGTTCGTCCTAGACGTTGCACTCCAGGTCGTCTTAGAAGTTGTCCTTGAGGTTGTCCGAAACGTTGTCCTTGAGGTTGTCCGAAACGTTGTCCGTGAGGTCGTTCTAGAAGTCGTCCCTGAGGTCGTCCTAGGCGTCGTCCTTGAGGTCGTCCTCAAAATCGTCCTTGAGGTCGTCCTAGACGTTGTCCTTGAGGTCATCCTAGACGTCGTCCTCTAGACGTCATCCTTGAGGTCGTTCCATCATATACAGCTTTGCTGGTCTTCCTTCTTCACTAGAGTAAAAAGGCTGACAGATTTTTTTATACGAAGAATGTTTCTTGTCAGAATACGGTGAAAGTCATTTCATCATACCCTGTTTTATCGTGTTTATTACATGAGCAACCATCCTTCCAGTGACACTTTGCATCGCTGGAAAGATGATTGCAGTTATAGATCATCTTGGCAGCCCATTACACTGACACTCTCTCCAGAGGATGTGCACAAAAGAAAGGACATTTTAATATTTATTCTCCTTCTTGCTTTGTAAAACCCACTTCAAGCAGACACATATTTTATAAATACGAAACTTAGCAAAGGGCAGACTTGTGTCATTTTATTTAGGCCAAACAATAAAAAAAGAGAGAGATAGGCGCTCACTCAGCACAGCGAAGTCCTCATGTATATGTGGTAAAGTGGAGTACACCGTTGGGAAAATATCACAGTATTCAACATTGGCAACACCTCCTACCGGTCTCAATTTTAAACACAAACCCTCAACTGCATGCTCGGAACCATATACTTAAAAATAACTTGGCACCAGCTACGGAGATAAAGAAAACGCACGCACACGCAACGTTTCACTTTCGAGGTTGCTGTGTTGAAGTAACAGAATATCGTTAACATGGACGGATTCAGATCAGTTCCGCTAATGAGAAGTCTCTCTCCGTTGGTGAACTTGATGCTGAAATGGCATGCACGAACTGCGCTGCAAGAGTTATGTGAGGAAACTCGTGCTGGCTCAAGTCCACCACTCCAAAGGATCGAACTCAGTCTCCAAGAAGTCACTTGTGGGCTTCTAATTACATGTGGCTTGTATGTTTTGGGTTTTCTTGGTCCAAAGAACATTTTCTGCTCTTTCCCCGCCAAACAAGAACATGTTTACCTGGGACAACAGGTGCTTCTGCATTCTTTACTTTTTCTAGAGACAGCCTTTTTGGCGAGATAGGACGTTCCAGTGCGATCTTTGGTGAGAATCAATCTTTCTTGACGTAAAGAACAATTTTCTCCCCGATAACACCTTTCATCTAAAAGAGTTTGCTCCTGCAATACATCCGATGATGTACCTCATAGTATCACTTACTTAGTCACTCTATGGTAAACTGTGTGGTCGCACACGTTTATCGGCCACCTCGGCAAAAATGTATATCCGGAGCCGCGGATATCCACATCCAATCCGCATCCGCAGCCCCTGGCATCTTTTCCTATCCACAATCCGCCAGATCTAATTAATTTTTATCTGGATCCACCGGTTTACCGCAGATATCCGCGGATGATCCGCGGGTAATCCGCGGATATGCAGGGCTCTAATTATGTGCCTGCAAATTTGGTTTTCCCAGACAATATTTAATACAAAAATTGTTGTCCAAAAACTGTGAAGATGCCCCAAAATTACATCAAGAGAAAAACGCATTAGAACGTTACCATAGATCTGTAGCGATACCCTTTCGTGGCGAGAAAAGGATAATTTGGTAATAAGAGAAATTGAAGCTACAGAAGACTGCGATGGAGAGGAGACACCTAGGTCTACTTGTAAACAAAAGGTCGGCCGACATCACAATTTGTAGAACCATGCATGAAAAAATGGTTCAAATATATGCCGTTCTGGGACACCGGGAGGTCTTCAAATGCGTATTGTGACTAATCTCGCAATCATAACTGGCGCTTATTATTTTTATACATAAAATATAAAGATTCAAAGCTAATAAAACACCATAAAACCCAAAATCACATTTGTTATGCAAAATAGTGCCATTTCTCGACCCGCATCTCCCCTTAACGTGCATCATGCAGCAGTGATACGCAACTGCACGCAGGTACGGTGCTGATCCAGGTCATAATGGGCAGGGTTAGGGATTGAACCCAGGATCCTCGGGTTTTATAACGCTAGCCCTTGATCCACATGCAGATTCTCTGGGGTGTCGCATTTCAGAATATTTGGCAGAAAAGATTCTGCTGTCTGGTCTGAATCTGTTCATGGATCTCGTGCATTGGTGATATTTTTGCAATTTTCCTGGCTGCCAAATTTGCAGAAACAGAAAAAAGAAAGGAAGTTATTACAGAATGTAAGTTATCAACATCCTAGTTTCGAACAGGCTGTTCTAGAAATAGTGAGTGAAAAATCAGCAGGCCATGAGTAATTTTTGTTAGTGGCAGGTCGACGTTGCATGCAACCAATGGGGAAATTATTGAAAAATTTGTATTGTGAAGCGATTTGTTTGCAAGGATTATTTAGGAATGGTTGTGGACCCATTCCTTTACTCCTCGTTATTAAAGGGGCACTGAAGTCGATTCTGAGATCGTCCTTTTGTGGTGACAACTTAATCTAGTCTCTAAGCACCCCAACAAGCCCGAAATCACAATTGTGCGTAGCTTATTTCCTCGTTAAAAGCGTGTTCAAAGATCGCGAAACACCCTTTTTGGGAAGAGAGTTTTTCCGAGTGAAGTGGTCGACGAAGGGCGCTTGTCGGTGAGTTGCAAGTGATGGCTTCGCGCGCGGTGAAAAAGAGGATTCTTATGTGAATGTGTACCTATCAGACTCCTTGAAACAAGTTATAATAAAATCATTCGGCATCTGCGCGTATTGTAGGGTGGGTTTTCATTGGTCCACACAGTGTAGTCCGCGAGAAAAAAGAATCCGCATGTTTTTCTCTTGCCCTGAGATAAATAGGCGGTCTTATAATATAGGACTTGGTAAATGTGAGAACTGACCCATTTTAAGCAATATAAGATAAAGAAAGACCTCCAAAATTGACTTCAGTGCCCCTTTAAAGGGGTTATGACACGCCAAAACTAAAATATGAGATAGCTATACCGCTAGTACCCATTGTATGTTCCTATAATCCTGCTAAGTTTGTTTTGAAAATGGTGTGATAGTTTCGTGGATAAATCGATTTATATGGAAGTCCCTCGGAAAGGCGGATCTGGGCGGAGCTGGAGGCCGGCTACATAGCCATTCTCCCGCGCGGTGTCCTCTTGCACGTACTCACAAACTTGGCTCTCGTGGCGTCTCGAGCTTCAGCTTCCTCGTTTACTTACCATGTTTCGAGCATGCTGTTCGTAATGATTATGTCTTCAGAATTGATCGCAGCAGTGGTGAGAGTGATTGCTATCAAGAGATGTGGGAAGCTGTTCATTTTGACTGCGACTTGCTGGCAACCAGCTCCAGCAACGGCAAGTTACAGACAAACTCACCGTGGTCACCGTCGTCCAGGAATATCCCTCGCAGGCGCATGCAAGGTTGAAGGTCAATGGGCCGGGGGCGAGAGCGAGAATAGCGTTCGGGTTACCGTGTTGCGTGAGCGGTTGTGATTGTACCACGGCGAGGAGAGCTTAAGCAATCGTGGGGGCGCCTAGAATGAGAGCGTTCATGATCACATGGTTTATGGACACCATATTGAGACTTACTTCGGCAGTGTTGCCTGGTTGCCAGATGAAAATTATAAAAATTTGTAAATTGAATATTGCAATTACCAGAGCTTTAAAAATTGTGTAACTTGGTGTATATACTAAGTAGCCTTTGAGCATTTCATTTCAAGAATAATCTTTCCGTTTAATTTTTGGCGTCATAACCTTTTTAAGGAAATAAGGTTGGTGAAATAATAATGGGTTCTAGATGGTAGGCACCTTCTTTTGAAGGCACCAGTATCTCATTGTCCACATGGGCTTATTGGTATTGAACCGAGGTTCTGAGGGAGGCGACTGATGTTGTTACTTGATAAAACCCTGCATTGTGATTCACCCAATATGGTCCTACCTTCAGCGGCTGAGGAAAGGCTGATTGAACTCTCTTCCTTTGCAGGGGCGTACCGATGGAGCTCAGCTACACTCTGTCCAACAAGACACCACCCGAGCACATGACGGGCCAACTCTTCTTCACTTTTGTACTGGAACATGGGCCAGGTGGGTACTCCTGTGCCTCGTTTAGCTTTTGCTTCGTCGTTTAACTTCGCTTCTTTGATATGGCTCAAACGATGTAAAAGGTAGCTTGGTTGACACCAAGAATGGTGGTGGTGGTTTTTTTTGTGCAGGTGCGCGTAGTGATGCGCTTCTTCTCAGAATGAAAGACAGTTGGTGGTAGTGCCGGTAGTGAAAACATACTATAGTAACAAACTTAAAAATTTAAACCTCATGCAAAGGAGGTACTCTTAAGTTTGTAGAAGAAAAAATCTGGGCACTTTGTGCGCAAATAGCGCGATAATGCTGTCACATTTCAAAAGAATCGCACAACCTCGCAGCTGCTGCAATCTTTTGATCTCGCGGTATTTTGCGTCGCTCGACGTAGTTCGCCCATCAAAATATTGTTCCAGAATGGTGTCTACGGTACGCCCTCAAGCTTTACGCCGATCCATTTGTCGGACCGGTCCGACGGCAGGAAAAACCACATTCGTCCTCTTTTGCAGTGGACCCGTGGACCCACATCCGCCAAGTCCACAATCCGATCTACGTGTCGGACGTCCCGCCGGACCCCTGCCCTTCCAGCCCCCCGTCCTCCGAAGTGCCTCCCCCTCCGCCTTCCACCCTGCACCAGCCGCCGCTCACCGCACGAACGACCTCCCTCCCCAACGGGAGCGGCCACCACGCCCCTCCGACCTCCTCCTCCTCTTCCTCGTCCTCCTCCACCTCCTCGGCAGGAGATCCGGAGCCGGCCCCACGGCGGGACGCCGCACGGAGTCGCAGCGTCCGCTCCAACAGCGAGCACGGCCTCCACTCACCGGGGGCGGCCCCCCAGGCGGCCTCGCGGCGCCTCTCGCAGACGCCGCGACCTCCCACGAATGCATCGTCGTCGTCCTTCGTGAACCTTGAGTACATGCTGCAGCGGGAGGCCGTCCCCGGGACCGGCGCGGACTTGCCGCCGCCGCTGCCTCCAAAGCAGAAGGGTAACCCCCGGCGGCATCACCATCATCATCGTCACCGGCCGTTGGAGAGGTCGCGCGCGTTGGATGTGGCGAGGTCGACGACGGAGGAGGTGACTTCTTCGTCGTGGAAGCACGCGAGACACCGGGAGGCGGGCTCACCGGGACCGGGCACGGGGGGTGAGGCCGTCGACTCGGACGGGAGCTCGGCAAGCTTGGCATCTTCAAGTGCAGCGTCCCCGACAGCGACGACCGGCGAGGAAGAGGCGAGCCCGCCCCCAACGCTGCCCCGGAGGACGGTGAGGATCCAGACGTCCGAAGGGGTTTGTGTTATGTGTGCATGGGGTGTCCCCTTCATCTCCTAATGCTGTGAAATGGGCTTTCCTCGTGCGTGTGCCGATTTTTCTGGCTCGTCTTACTGCGCTAAGATCCATTGTGGACACCCTGAAGGTTGTTAGTAATTCACTAGATAGCACCATCATACCCCATTTCTTTTATGGAAGTCTTTTGACCAATGATTTCAACTCTAGAGGCAGTGATGCGCAATATTTTTCGGTCTACAACTCATAGCTGCTCTTTTCCCAAAGTTTCCGTCGTGCATTTTATTATACAACGACGTGGCGTATATGTGATTTTTTTGGTGTGTAAGTATGCAGTTTGACTACACAAATTTGCCACGGGGCTTACTTTTGTCGTTTTATTCCATGGCGAGGATATTGAAACTGGCTCCCGCTTGTGCATGTGTCGTGTTTACAATACACATGTGCAAGTTTATCAATGCAGTTTCGCTGCATTGACCACACAAATATATAGGCGTGACTTACAAAGGAGCTACTCGTATACCAATTTATTCTGTGAAAACTGCAGTTTTTAGGGGGTACTGCTGTTTTTGACATGACGGTGGTTCTTGGTGGTTTCTTGTTCTGGGTTATAGTTATAGGTCAGGAATCTCCGTTACTCCCCCCACGTTCAGGCGAGACCCGCCGTGCTCCAGACAACGTCGGGCGAAGCGGGCACCGTCGGCAGCGGGAGCGCAAGGGCGGCGCCCCTGGCGACTCCGGAGCAGGACTCGTCGCTCCAGGAGGGGGCACCCTCCTCCCTGGAGAACCTGAGCGGGGTCCTGGACGCCCTGGACTCGGACGAGGAGGTGGGACGGGCCGAGGACGAACGGTCGGCGTGCGACTTTGACCGCGCCAACAGCGAGCCGGCCAACCTGGAGTTCGACGCCGGGGGCGTCGCGTCCCCTTCGGCCGGAGACGAGGACAACAGCCCCTCTCCCGCGCCAGGGGGCAGCCGGGGGGCCTCGCCGCAGCAGTCGTCCCTGGGGGACTCATCCGTGGACGCTTCGTCGTCCCAGACGCTGAGCGCGAGCGAGGAGGAGGAAGAGGACAACGCGGAGGCGAGGAACTTCGAGTGTGAGTGCACCCCTCGTCTCAACGCACGTCTGCCTTTTCCTCGAGCTTTCCAACGGGCTCTCGAAAACCCTGGAGTCTGGGTGGCGTGTTGGGGCTCCTCCGCTGTGTCCCCTTCTCTCCCAGGGGATGCCTTTTGAGCGGGCCAGTCGTACCACACATTCTTAAATGTAGACATGTTACAGAAAGAAGAATAGTATTGTCGGACCTTCCTACAGTAAAGCTGACCTTTTCGAGGGAAGTCTCGACTACATCGTCACTTCGGTTGTTGGAAGCGATATTGCGAGCATACTTAAAGTTTGCTTCAATGCGTCCATATCTTCACTTTATCGGTTGTTACTATTGGCGATTTTCGTCGCGTGTTTTTGGACCTACTTTTGCGGCTTTGCCTTTAGACCACCAGGTGCTGCGAAAATGTGATTATCTCAAATGTGGTTTTGAACAAACCTACGACTTTCTGTTTGAATCGCTAGGTGCCGTTGATTTAATAGAAGTCGCCAATAGAGAAGTTATACTATTTCATAGAAGTCGCCAAGAGAGAAGTTCTACCGTAACTCATAATACAGTCGAGCCTGTCGCTGCGCAACTCCTGAACCCCAAAATAAAATAAGCAGACAAAAAGGTTTTTGTCAAGTTTAGAGGGTTGACAACAACGGTTGAGCAATTACGCTTTGAATGCCTTTGTTTACGTTTTTCTTTTTCCGTTTTTGCATTGCCCTTTTTTTTTCCTTTTTTTTTCTTTTTTTGTTGCCTGAATTTAGTGAGGTTGCTTTTTTGTTACTTGCTTAACTTTATTCTATGGATGGAGTTCTTTTTTTTTTTTTTTATGCAACTCATTTTTTTTTTTCTCTTTTCATTTTTTTTAAATTATTTTTGCGTTTTGTTGGCGGCGTCGCTGTGTGGAGGTCGTGGCCATGCGTAAATGATTGCAAACACCTTTGCATAAATGCAGCGGTGTTTGTGATCTTCACCAACTAAGCTCTGCTGTATTTAGCGGCTCTTAGAGGCTCTATTTGATTTTTAAGTTAAAGCAAATAGGCAGGCGAGCTGGTTAAGGATAGACATAGTAACCGTGGAGCTAAAGAACAAAAAGGGATGGAAAGACACCCCTTTTTGTCGTCTAGCTCTAGGGTTGTCTACCTGGTAAGTTCCATCTGTGGCGGCTTTCGGTATTAGCAGAAACGTGCGGAAATTTCAACTGGAGCTTAAGTTAACATATTTTTGTATATCAAATTATTGATATATCGAACTATTTTAGGATCCCCTTTGAATTCAATATATCCGAGTCCGACAGTATGATGCTTCGAGCTCGGAAAGCTAAAAAGTAGAGCAGATTACCGTATTTTCCGGGCTATAGTCCGCGGACTGTACATGTTTAAAAGTTGAAATTTCTGGCTGTGCGGACTATCTACGTGTGCGGACTATACAGGAATTATGTTTTTCAAGAGCGTTTATTATGACGAGACGTGACGAATTTTGTGCACGAAAGTGTATGTTAATGATGATTTATGCACATTATAGGCTTTATTGTGATCTAAAAAGCAGACATTTGTAAACGTGTGCCGTCTATGAGATGATTTTCGTGTCGACTAAGCACCAGGTGCGGACCATGCACTGGGTGCGGGCTATGCACCGGGTGCGGGCTATCTACGCAAAATCTTTTATTTTTGACCCCAAATTTCCCCCTGCGGACTATACACCGGGTGCGGACTACAGTCCGGAAAATACAGTAGGCTTGTCATTCTTATTCTTTTTTGTTTTTGCATGACCACATCATTTTTAAATATTTCCTTTGTTTCATAATTACTTCCATGTAATTTGAAACTGAACACCTTTATAGAGGAGTACTCCCCAACGTGCGGTAAAATATCCTTGAAACGTCCGTTTGCTCATAAATTAAGGGATTTTGTGATTTCTCGGATTTTGAAAGTCTCCGCACGTCCTTAAAACCCTATGGAAGGCCTCGGTATGCTTTCTTTAGAAACCTCTAGAAAACGTTTTTAAATTTTTGTTGCGGTTATCAAAAAGCACTACGACTACTAGTCCAGTGCTGTGTCATTAAAAGAGTGATCTGAGATACCGACACTTACCGTTAGCGCAGACCGACAGGTGGCACTACTGAAACTTGTTGAATATGGTCGACCAATGTACGGCGCTTGTCAGCCACTCGCGATCAATGGGTTCCCGTGGGGACGTGCGGGACTGGTCAGGTCCACGTCCACGCGGGAACCCATCGCTTGCGAGTGGCAGACAAGTGCCGTCCGTCTATCGGCCATATTCAGCAAGGTCCGGTAGCACCATTGTCATTCTGCGCCAACAGTATGTGTCGGGATCTTGGATCACTTTTTAATATGCAAATCAGTCGCGCATAAATGTTACTGCGGGTCTTTTAGGATGCTTAGAGCTCGTAGATTGAGTTATGACCATAAAAGGAGGATCTCAAGAAGCACTTTAGTGCCTCTGTAATCTCTGCGAAAACCTAATTTTGCAAACTTCACACTTTGAAAAATATAATTGCAAATGGCTTATTCTATGGTAACGAATACACATCGTATTCCTCCCAATTGCAGAATCTTGTATCCACCGAAAATTCCACAAACCTACACTTTTCGAAATTTGTAGACTTATCGAATCCACGAAAATGAATTAAGTTGACGTCGGACAATACGGTGACGTCCTTTCCGTCTCCTCACACCCGCGTCCGCAGCAGGTCGAGAGCAGTCGTCGCAGCGCAGACGGCGTCAGACGCCGCAGCGATGCCACTCGGACTCTGAGTGCTCGTTCCCACGCCCACGCCGGCAGCACAACCGCCACAGCCACCACCAGGCGCACCACCGGAGGCGGCAGCTGGGAGCCGAGGCCAGGCCAGATCCCCCGAGGTTGGACCCCTCGTCGAGGGCTGCCTTCGTGTTCCCCGTGGAACAGTCCGGTACGTGCGGATCGGGCGGGAGCGAGACTCAAAGTGCAGCCCATCTGGCGAAGTCCTTCGGGCTGCACGAAACTTTCATCTCGGTTGTAAGAGCACTCTGCCATAAGGAACGTCTACACTCCTGTAAAGCCTCTATGCGGAGCTCGAGTTTGTCCGCTTCTTGCACAGGGACTGCGATGATGTCGGAATGTCGAGCTATTATTGGTTGATTGAGAAAAATAGTTGGTAGACCTCGAGGCATCTAGCACTGAGGTCTACGCACTATCCTTTCAATCACAGCCAGTCAGAGCTCTGCGTTATTCTGAGGTCACCGCAACTCCTGCGCAGGAACCAGACGATTTGCTCTCCGCATTGGGAATATAGAGCTTGGGAGTTGCTGTCAGGGGGTTTTCTTTTTGTAACCTAGCAGTGAAGATGCTTTGTCTTGATCCAGTATGGAAAGCATGCTTCCAGGCACTTGGAAAGCAGAGCGAAGGTAAAAAAATCAGCAGGTGCAGATTGCTGCGACAAACCTATTATGGTGCCTGGAGTGCGTCTCCCAACTCGCGTGTCTACCGCCTTCTTATCTCTCGTTTCTCTAGTTCCCTCTGATGATGTCGTACGTGCCATGCTTTTGCTCGCTGTAATCCTGGCGACGGCACCATGGCGGAGGTGTATGCGGTGGACGCCATTGCAATTTGTTCTTTAGCCAGAGTGTCTAGAGACACTGAAGCAGATGCAAAGTGGGACACTGCGACTGCATCAACCCTTGCGTCCCTTCACCTTTTTTGCCCGCATTTCTACAACGTGCTTCTAGGATCGCGGCGTCTGATAAAAACGACTCCTGACGTAATTTGTTGCCAATTTGGAACCACTTTTGATGCACGGGTGGTATCGGGCCATAAATGCACCAGTCAGGACGCATTCCAGGCGGCATAGTTATACGGACATCTTCACTACCGTGATGCACCTGATAGTGCCTCGAAGTTTTGCGGTTTGTCTTTGGATGGATTCGTTTTCATAACCTCGAAGGGAAAATGCTTTGTCTTCTAGCGTCGTAGACTTGCTTGTAAACACTTCAAAGGGGGGGGGGTTGAAAAAACGGCATGTGAAGGTCATTGATAGCTGCCATGGCAAGGATTACTGCACCAGCCTTAATGTTCTCCTCGCTGCCTTTTAATGCAAAAGCATTAACTGTCCCATGGAGTGGAGCCAGCAATGTCTGTAACCGCAAAAACAGTGTAATAAATTCCTATTCTCCCATTGGCTGCGACAGAACATAGTTCCAAGAAACGTCACCCCACAGAGCAACCCTCTTCCTGGCGCTGCAACCCGCACACCGGTAAAAAGGAGAGGGTGGCATGCTCCTCTGCCGCTCTCGTGTCGGACATTGCGGGGAAGGGGAGGGAGGGGGAGTGAAAGAGGGAGGGAGGGCTACGGCCGCTTCTGCTCCTTTCGGCGTTGAGAAATATGGCGGCGCCTGAGGCATTTATATTGTCGGCGGCCGCAGTTTCGGCAGTAGCGAAACTTGGCCGTCCACAACAGTACACTGCAGGCAAACTAAGGGAGTGGAAGAACGACATTCACGCTTTCGCATTCACAACTCATGAGAAGTGCTTAGCTGTCCTCGGAAGTCTGGCATGGTGCAGATATTCATGTACCGTAATATCCCGAAAGATGCCCCAATTCCAAAATGCTGCACACCTCTTAGCATGATTAGCTTTTTTTTTTCTTTTTTCAGGAACATTGAAAGATGGCTTATTTCTAGTAATTACAGTGGCCTGGCTAATGGTGACCTTGGCCAAAATGGGTTTAGGTAGCTATGGCGGGAGATAAGCATACATCGCTGACTGGGAAAGACAGCTGTCTTATGCTCCAATGCCCCTCAATGTGAACACGGGTTTGGCAACTCACAATGTACAAAAATAGCATTTAAAATAAATGTTCCTTCATTGCACACCAAAAGTTAGCCACTCCCCGTGTTCACCCGCTTTGCTCTCGCTTGTAGGTGGGCAATCTCGGGATATCATGGTAGTGAAGGCCCTTTCTGCAAATAAAGGGGCCGATTTTGACTGTTGAGCAGTCGCTTTCCTCCTCTCGCGTGCTCATGGAAACGGCATGCTTGCAGGCTGCCTGGCGTCGTCCGGCAGCGTGCCCCTGCTGCTGCCCTACAGCCAGAGCGACCACGGCAGCCTGTCCCTGGGTCCCCCCGAGGAGGCGTGCCCCTTGGGGCCCCGGGGGGCCCTTTCCCGCATGCGCATGGGCCCCGAGGAGTACGGCAGGCTCCTCCCCGTGGGCGACGGACTCGTCCTGGCGAGGTGCGCCCTCTACCCCGTGCCCCCTCCATAATGCGTTCACCCTTAAGTCGATCATGTGGTTGTTGGACCGGCCGTACGCCTCTGTTTAACCACACCCTCGTGCAGAGAGCGGGGTCGTTTGAAGAGAGGGTGGTGGTCGATTGGTCCGGCATGCACATAGTGTTGTATGTGAGACATGACATACGTTCCCAGGCCACGGCAGATGCAGACCGCTCACTCGTACTGCACAAAATTCTCTTTACTACCGTAGTCGCACAATTTATATACAAGGGGGCAGACGTCCATACTTGTGGTGCCACCTCTCACGCCGAACAACAACTAGCAAATACTACACAGCTCTCACCTCACTCTCCGCTTGGGGGTGAACGGAATTTATCTGACAATCTATGCCAACCTCTATACTTGTTATCACCTCAAGGACCGTAGTAAAAAAAAAGTCAGACCCCTTGTGGAGCTTGACAAATTTCCTTCTTTATATGTAAAGTTAGGATATATGAAAGTGCATTTCAGAGTAGATGTATGTTATCTTATCGAGACAGGCACGTTTCAAACGCCAATAGCATCGCTTCTTCCTCCGACAACCAAATCTTGCAAGAACTACCGTATTTACTCGCACAATGAACGCACTCGCGTAATGAACGCACCCCCCAAGTCGGCTCTCAAAATTTCGACTTTTTTTTTCACTTGCGTAATAAACGCACCCCCAACTCGGAAGTCAAAATTTTTAACCCTCCCCCCACGCGTGCGAATTGAACACACTTTTCTATCCTGGTGCAGCGAGGTCGCGAATGCACCGGCAGTGTGGATGAACAAAACGTCTTGCAAAAGGCGTTAAAAAATTTGCAAAGATCCAATGGAAGCAAAAAAAAAAAAAACTTGAAGAGGAGCTTTTTTTTTTTTTTGCACAGCGCAGTCTGGATTTGTGTTTGCGCGCCGCCGCGCGCAAGGAGGTAAAGGCCCATACGCACATTCGCGTTTGAGTGCGATGCGTTCCGTAGCGGCAAGCGGACGCGTTGCGTTGCGAAAACCGCTTGCGCCAAACTTGTACGCACAGTTGCGTTGACACGGAGTCAACCGCAGTCAAGAGCCAATAAGAATGCGCTATCGTCGCTAGTGGCTCACCAATAGTAAGCGAAATCCAAGGCAACATGGCGGCGCACGGCGACAGCGTCGAAGCGTTCGATCTTGGGACAATCTTGCCGGCTTCCCCGACGTTTTGTAAAGCTTGAACCATCGCAGCCTTGAAAAATACAGTGTCCACCGCTCCCCAAAACGAAAAAGCAAGCACTGCGACCGGCGAACCGGATACGTCTCGCCGAGTCGGCCGGAGCGAACATGTCACCCCCTCTCAGTGTTGCCAGACGGGAAAAAGAAAAAAAAGTCAGCAGATTCATCCCCAAAAGGTCAGTAGATTTGCTCAAAAATCAGTAGATTCTACGAAATCTGTGTTTTGCCATGTTTTCCTATTTCCATTAAACCACACTTCGAAGAAATAGTACAGAGTAATTGATTTGTGTGGCGATTTCGAGGATTATTCTTTGAAATCGAGACTGAGCCACTTTTGGAATCAACAGATGACGGCGACAGTGCGACATCCACCAGTCGCTATTTTCGAAATGAAAACAAAACAAGACGTTCCGGCAAGTGCGCGCTTACATGTCCAATGGAAGTCCTCTGCAAGCTGCCATCTTTCCTTACTGGGCTGCGGAAGGTTTTTGAAGCAACGCTGTCGGCGCGGAGTACTGTTGAGGCTACGCGTCGTCTGCTACGGGCTTATTTCTTTTTCTCCTGACTGAAAGTTTGCGTTCAAACGTGGAGGAACTTAGTTCGTTAGCTTCTTAAGCCACCGAGGATTAACATATATCATTTTCTTGCCAGAGCCTGCCAAATAAAAGTAAAGAACCAAGATTTGGATGTCGGTCCCATGCATTCCGCTGTGCGAATTAATGAAAATCGCGGACCTCTTCGCTCGGCTGGGAGCATATGGCTGGGAACAGCCGAGAGTTCACGCGCATGCGCTCACGCCTCTCGCTCTGCGCCGCAGGCTGATTGGCTCACTTGGGAGGGGGGCGTTACAGCGGCGAGATCATAGACTGGCCAAACTCTCACCACATATGGCTCTGGTCCGGGTGTCGCCGTCGAACCGTCCAACGTAACGTTGAACCGTTGAACCTGCTTTGGGTGAATAAATAGATGAATATACGGCTAAGTCACTCGAATATAGGACGGGCTTCTGGGCCATCTAGCCAGTGCTTCGTTTTTAATTCTGGGAGAATATGAGTTTCCTTTGATGGCCGGGCGACCCTAGGAACTGATGGGGCCATAATAAATTTTAATATGTTTACAAAAAAAAAGTCAGTAGATTTTCTTTTTTTTCAGTGAATCAGGAGACCCGGAACGAAATCAGATCTGCTGATAAATCGGTAGACCTGGCAACACTGCCCCTTCTCCTCTTTTGGCTTCTGATTGGTCGAACGCGCCCGAACGCACCACAACGCTTTGGAAAGTTGAACGAGTCTCTACTTGCTTGCGTCGCACTACCGAGCGTTGCGGGAAGGCACGCGTCGGTCCGCAAGCGACCGCGCCTGGCCGCAAGGACTCCGCAACGTACTCAAACGCGAATGTGCGTATGGCGCTTAAAGGCCCGTTCACACTCTTGCTCCCGAGTACGACTGAGAGAGACGAGATCTCTTAAAACTTCTTAAATGTTTGTAGAATGAGGGAACACACTGGCATTGTGGCGCCATCTATGCGGTGACCCTGGAACTGCATTTCACAAGAGCGAAGGTTTTGCGGGATTCCGAGGTCAAATGTGCGTAATACCCATAGAAAGGCTCGTTTATACCATTGAGTTTACACTGCTTCCCAATAGATGGCGCCAGTGTGTTCTCTGGTTTAAGAAGTTATAAGGAACCCAGGTTTAAGAGGTCGCAAGAGTGTGAACGGGCCTTAAAGACCGGCGACCAGTTCGCGCTTTCCACTATTCCCTCGCTTCCTCCTCTCCCCCTTCTACACTGCCCACCGTTTGCCGGTTTCCTCCTCCCCATGGTGAGGAGGGTATTCTGCCTTGCAGAATCTCTAGTCTGGTCGTTGGCCTTTAAGAAGGAGAAGCGGAGAAGCGCTCTAAGCGAACGACACAGCTTGCAAAAGGCGGGAAACAGAAAAAAAAAAAAAAGAGCTTTTTTTTTCTTTGTTTTTTCTTTTGCACAGCGCAGTTTGGTTACGAGGGGTCGCGAGGCCGCGCGCAAGGAGGTAAGAAAGGAGCGGAGAAGCTCTCTAAGCGAACGAAACAGCTTGCAAAAAACGGCAAAAAGAAAAAAGAAAAAAAAAAAACTTACGGAATTCAGAAAAAAAAAAAGAGGAGCTTGTTTTTTGTTTTGTTTTTTAGTTTTGTTTTTGCACAGCGCAGTTTGGTTAAGGGGAGTCGTGCATCGCGCGCTGCGCGCAAGGAGATGAGAAAGATTAGCGGTGAGCCCTCACCAAAGCGACGCCTAAGCAAACAAAACAGCTTGCAAAAGTGGCTAAAAAAAAAAAAGACAAAAAACTAGGAACTAAGGAAAAAAGAAAACGAAGAGGTTTTTTTTTGTTTTGTTTTTGCACAGCTTAGTTTGGTTAGGGGTCGGGCGCTGCCTGCAAAGAGATAAGAAGTTATTTCGATTTTTCAGGATAAAAGGGCCGTTCATTATGCGAGTAAATACGTATTCGGTAGTATTCGGTAGGTACTTCGTCTTCGTGCGGCGTATGAACAATGCACAAAACTTGATTTTTTCTTGAGGTGAAAACGAGTATAGATGACGAGAGTGCTGTATTATACATGTCACATACAGGATTGCAGCATCGGGTGCAGGTTGGGACATGAGGGCCGCGTAGGTGTTTGGCCGGGACTCCTGTTCGGTTGACGAGGGCACGAATCCCGGCATAATGCCGTTACGGTGCTCGTTTCCATCGCATGTCCTACTCTGGTCCCTGGTGGGAGACAGCAAAAATCCAGCACTACGGCCTTGTCATCTAGGAAGCGTTACCCGTGCCAATTCGAACGGCTCAACGGAAACAATCTTTGTACTTGCAACGCCGGTTTGCATCTGCGTACGAGTAACCGTTCGTTGTCGGTCCTATTGGCACCATCTATTGGTAGCCCTGCAACGCGTCTGATCTGCATATGAGGTTTTTCGGTGTTTTGCGAGATCAGACATGAGCGCCGTTTACGAGGAAAGGTTTCTTGTAACATTTCAGGAATTATTTCGAGCCCACGGTGAAAGAATTGTTTGTAGAATAGGTGGAGATCAAAAGGGCATAGACAAAACACTTTTTGTTTTTTGTTATTTTTCTGCAAAATAAAAAAAGTTTCCGAAATGTTTACGTTGTTAGACGCAATTTAGCTGGGACATTGCGGCATGCTCTAAGCCCCACCCACAGATCAGTGGCCCTGCCCATTAATACTGGATTGGCTTGGCTGCTCTGCTGAACACACAAACAAGCCCAGTGTGTCTCTTTCGAAACATCGGGGACATCTAGTCCGACATCAGACGTTGCCTGCTTGTCGTGCGAGAAGAAGCGCGGCAGCCTCCGACATTGTCTGCTATTGTACCACCATCTATTGTTGTCTGCAATGCCCCCAAGACATAGACACGAAAGCTGCATGTTGGCACCCGTCTTTGTCTCCGTCCATCTGCTATTCCGTCCCCCGTCTGGAAACTTTTACAATGCTCCCAAGACTTGTCCATGAAAGCGGCGTTCTAGCATACCTTCTTGCGCGAGCCACGGTCCAATAGAAACGTTTGTTGGCGTCTGTCGATGCGCTATAAAAAGCTACCGCAAGGACTAAATTATTTTTGTGTTTTGTTGCCGGCGCTGTGTGGCGTCGCGTAAGCGCAGTGGTGTTTGTGATCTTCACCAACTAAGCTCTACTGTATTTAGCGGCTCCTAGAGGCTCTATTTGGCAAGGTCCCGTTTGTCGCGGCCTTCGGTATAAGCAGAGATGCGCGGAAATTTCAAGTGGAGCTTAAGTTAACATAATTTTGTATATCAAATTACCGATATGTCAAACTATTTTACGATCCCCTTTGAATTCTATATATCTGGATTCGACTGCCCTGCCTTTTCGAAGCAAAATGATGCGAACATAAACAAGCTTGATGCAAGCCGAACACCCGATTGCCTCCAGCTAAATGGCTCGCTAATACTTACCTGTGTAGGTATCTTGTCGGCATTGAACCATGGTTGCAATAACAACGGTTCCACTATTCACAGACCAGTGGGGCTGCTTTTACGGGAACAAACATCTTTATTCAGCGTCAACACGTGCAAAGGAACATATCTAGCCAGATCAAATAACATTGTTCACGTGGGACGCTAGACTTGGGCCAGTCCCACTACGAACACAAGCATCCGCACGGCACTTCAGAGGGCACATACTTGCATCAGTTGTTTGCTGTAAAATAGGTCAATTGAGGAGATCTTCCTCTAAACACCTTGGTGAACATAGAACAACTCACACTCGTAAAAATACGAGCAGCCGCACGCCGCGAACGCCAGAAGCCATGTTTATTATCATTTGAATCCAAAGCGAAACGGCACTATCGGGGTATCTCTAAAAACAACAGTGACTCTATCTAGATCACTTGTTCCTTAAACATAAGAATACCTATTGTTGATTAAAATACTATTATGGCATGGAGAAACAATTTTACAACAAACATTTTACAGGTCAATCATCTCTCAAACCAGTGAGGGCCGAGAAAAGGTGCTTAGTCTTGTAAGCGCCGGGCAGGGCCTAGAGCAGGGCTACCTGCACCTAAAATATGTCCAATGGCGTAAACATTGCTAAAAAAAAAATTTGTTCTTTCTGGAAAGATTTACAGAAAAATGATGTATCCCATTTAAGCCCTTTAAACAATATTTTTTTTTTTATTTCAGTTTCTTAAAGTTTTTAAGTTATGTGAAAATGCTTGTTTTTTAGGTCACGACCCGTACAGGAGTGAAACGTAATCTCGCAACATGGCGACGACGTGCTTTCCTCTCCTCGTGCACAGTGTGTCAAGCAACAGAACTTCCACTGTGGAGCCATCCCCCGCTGCGTCGTCGGTTGCCACCCTGATGAACGTGCAGCCGCAGCAGCACAGCAACACCACCCGGCTGCCTTCCATACCGGAGCGTACCATCCGCTACCAGCGCGTCGAGCTCGAAGAACCGTTACCCCCCCGTACGTCGGCTTCTCCGTGGCTCCTTTAGGCTAGCAGTTAGAGACAACGACGTGTACGAAAAACTTTAATGATCTGTGTCTGGTAGTAATGGGTGGACATTCTTTACACAGTGCGAACGCAAAAATAGCACTTTTTTTACATTTGGTTCGAGCGGGGACTTAAGGCCCGTTCACTCAGTTTCATCAACTGCATTGCGACGTGCAGCGCGGTGCCTCTCCATTGGCTCGTCATAAGGGTCGCCGTAGCAGCAGCTCGACGCAAGCGGTCTTAATGCAGTCAAGTGCAACCGTGTGAACGAGCCTTTAGGTGCACCAAAGTTTCTCGTTGAGGTTAGTTCCCGAAACAAGCGCTTCACACCACGTTGGCCATTTCGAAGGCATTCTTTCAGTTCTAAGAGATGCGCGGGAAAAACCGACTGTCGCTCGTTTTTTTTATTACAAGCGTCTCGTTCCGTGAAGCTTGTTTAGGATCGGTCTTTTCGCAATATGCGATAATTGCGCGCAACGATTACGTTGAGCGGCCTGCTCCGAATGTCGGCTTTGGTATCCCGAAACGCTAGCATTTGCCGCTCCGAAATGTGCTCTGGAAAGCTCTGGTTTACTTCCAGCCCCGGGATGAGACTGTTTCAAAGAGCGGGGTCTCTTCCTGAATTTGCAGATTGGGAGGCCCGCATCGACAGTCACGGACGCGTCTTCTACATTGACCACCTGAACCGCACCACCACGTGGAACCGGCCCTCTCTCTCGCAGCCCGTCAGTGTCGTCGCCTGCAACGAACTCCAGCGGCAACAGTTTGACCGCAGGTGGGCGACTCGGGTTTGAGTTGCGGCGTAAATTGGTGGCTGTGTTTCAATTTGTCTATAAAATCGGCTATAAAACCGGCTGCGACTAGGCCGGCCAGCATGTTGTGTCAGCCGCATCGGATGAGGGTTTTTGGACGCGAGAGTCAGGAAGGAAAACGTATTAACCAAGAATGTATCAACGAGGTTCTACTGCACTTTATTAGAGAGCTTCTCTATATCTTTAACAAAACGGCGTTGATGCAAGTAGACGCCGCCGTCGGTTCCCACCCGGTGAATAGCAAGTGAACAGACGTTGCTGCCGATCAGTTGGCATATTAATCGCTTCTCGAAGCATTGGCTAGCTGATTCCGGAGTAAAAGTAATTGTATTTATGTTTGGAAGTTAGTCTGGCCCAGTGGACATCTGTTGTCTCCGCTGCGGATGACAAATTTAGCTAGGGCAGTTTGACGCTAGCCTGGGGTCTTTAACATGCAGCACGCTGTATTGACATACGACTTCACTCTGGTAGGATGCTCATCCAGGTCAAGACGGGCAGGGGTGGGAATCGAAACCAGGGTCTCTGGGTTCTGTAGTGCGAGCTTTCTATCCGCGTGCTTTGAGCTGCGGTGCGTTAATGCACACGGTCACCGATCTGCCCTCAGCACCGGAGGGAAAAATGCCTTTCCTCGCAGGTATCAGAGCATTCGACGCACAATGACGCCACGCATGACGGCCGCGGCTGCGGAACGAGCTTCGGCTGCCGCGGCGGCTGCGGCGGCAGCAGCGGCGGCTTCATCTCCGGTGGCGACGTGTGCCGTGGGCATGGCCGCGGCCTCCCCTCCGCCTCCTCCGCCCCCAGCAATCGAGGAGGTTGTCCCTGGGAGCTGTTCCTCGGTGGCGCCCTCTGCACCCCCGGCTCCGGCCCCGGCTCCAGTGACACCGAGTGCCGACAGCCTAAGGGCGCTGTTGCGGTCGCCCGCAGTTCGCTTTGTTACGCGCTCCGACTTCTTCAACGTGCTGCACATGAACGACGTGAGTACTCGGACTCCCAATTACTTTTTAAGGCAGAATGTCTTTAAGGTCTGGAATGACGGAAAACTGCCATGAATTGTGTGACATGAATTTCAGGGGAAAAGATAGGTAAAAGAACACATGATTGAGTAGAAATGGTGGTAAATTGAGGTGAAAGAACGAAATTCCGAACATCCCCCAATGAGAATCGAAAACAGGATCACAAGAAAGAATCAGAGTCTGAAGCTCTACCACTGTGCCAAGGGGGAGACTTGTGAAGCAATAATCAGTTTGCTATGCCAAGGGCAGGAAGTGCGTGGGTGACTGCATGACCGTATCATATTACCATATCATGTGACTTGACGTTATGGAAGAGATTCGAAGGAGTTATGGGAGAGTAAGGAAACGAGCGAAACAAAAACATTTTATGTGTACTAACTTTATAAGTTTTTGAAAATTACTAATCTGATGAAAAGTAGGCACACGCTGTATGCTAGTTGTTGTGGCATGCGTAGCCAATATGTTTCTGCGACTGGAACGTTTTCTTATTGCTGTTGAATATGTTAACTCCGAAGTTTCCGCAAAGCATTTTAAGTCCTTGTGTACATGCACTATCAATCACATGCAGTGAGTGTAAAGAGATTTTGAGGACAATTGGAGGAGGAGGAGGAGGAGGAGGAGGAGGAGGAGGAGGAGGAGGAGGAGGGGAGGGGAGGGGAGGGGAGGGGAGGGGAGGGGAGGGGGAGGGGGGGGGAGGGAGGGAGGGAGGGAGGGGGGGGGGGGGGGGGGGGGAGGGGCTTGTGACAGATGGCTCAAATTAACCCTTGGTCAGCTTCCAAACTAAAGGGCAAATATGCAAACTCTTGCCTCGGGTGTCGGCATGCTGTGATGGTAAAAATATATATGTTAGTGAGTGACGATTATTCTTTAACACGCTGCTTTGCCTTCTGTTTCCTCGCTGGGTCACAGGATGCCTTGGCTGCTTACAATAGAAGCTCTTCCTTGAAACACATGATCGCCAAGATCCGGCGAGATTCCGCCAATTTCGAGAGGTAAGCTCCCAAGCGTGGCTACTTTCTTCGTTGAATTTCCCGGGCTAGGACGGTCCTCCAACTCTGCTTTGCCAACAGGTACCAACATAACCGGGACCTTGTCAGCCTGCTGAACAAATTTGCCGACAGGGGAAGAGAACTGCCTCGTGGCTGGGAGACAAAGCTAGACCGCACGGGAAAGGTAACGCCCCTCTGCTTTGGCGGCCATTCGACGCTCGTTTCTTTTCAGTCGCGTCCATACTAGTCGTAGTGAATTTACCAGAACCATACCTCTTATGTGTTGGGAGGGCAAAAGAAAGCCAAAGTTCATCCTCCACCCTGAGGGCTGGTCTACACATTTGGGGACATTCTTCCACCGTGTGCAGGAAATAATTCTGACACTGTTATAATCTGACATTTCTCATAGATGGTGCGTGGATTTGATCTCGCTAATACTGCAAAACTTTCTGTCTGTTGTACGCACATCAGAATTTTTCCACAGCTGCTCGATAGGTGGCACCAGTATACAAGTGTGTAGGGAAGCGAATATTCAAAATTTTGAATATGAATAGAGTATTGTAAATTTAATATTCATATGAGATTTGAAAACTATGTTTTTGGTGGGTTTTTCTTTTGACTATTTAACACTAACTGCTATTTAAAACTATCTGAATATTTGAGAGCACATTCATTTGCAAGCACTAGTTTTGCTTTCGGTTTGCATATTCGATTTAGGAACTACGTTTGGTGGGTTTTTTTTCGAATATTTGAAACTAACTGAATATTTGAGAGCACATTCATTTTTCAAGCACTAGTTTTGTTTTCGGTTTGCATATTTGATTTGAAAACTGTGTTTTTTTGTGTGTATTTTTTTATATTTGAAACTAACCGAATATTTGAAAGCGCATTCGCAAGCTCTAGTTTTGCTTTCGGTTTGGGTGAGCGGGGCTCATAGAAAGTGACGTAGCAGTGTGGCGGCTTTGCACCCAGAATGTCCAATCAGTGATGCGGTGCCGGTAATCTGCGGCTCTAGTTAGAGTGTCTTCCTGGCTCTTTAACCTGCGATCCAACCGATGGGTCTCTATAGGCAGTTGTGCATTCGAATTAGTGCTACTACACCCAACTGTGTTATGGCGGACGTAGATGATTGTGGCGAACTATGGGTTTCTTTAGATATACTAATCTCGCAAAGCTCGGCTTCTAATATTTGGCAATATCTGCCGCATCAGCGCCAAGTGAAAGTGTTTCATGTAGCTGGAAACATTTCTGCCCAAAAGAACGCCTCCTAGCTAACCATGTGCAACGATCGTTTTCTGTCTGCATGACAACTCGCAATGTTTTTGTCTGCTAGTGGGCCTTTTGCATTTATGACACGCTATTCATACCTTTTTATTCTTGTCAACACAGATCTGGTGTTCTAACATGTTAAAATAAAAATGCTGTTTCCAATAAATACCATTTCATTCGATACTCGACGCTAACTATTCATATTCAAATTATATTTAAAAAATGTAATATTTGCACACCCCTACCATTGTTTATCTCTCGTAAGCAATCGCAAACGGTTGCAACATAGTCGATCGCACTCTAGCATAAATGTTGCAACCACCCTTCCGGAAGCTGACATTCGTGCATGCAACATTCGCTCCGATGACCTTTAAAGGCTTCAGACCGACTTCTTAAAAGCTGACGTAGAAATTGCTTGTTGTAACAATCGGGTGCCGTGGCGGTGCAGCAATTCTTCATCGACCACACGGCGCGGAGCACGACGTTCATCGACCCCCGGCTACCCATGGACGTGCCCTACTTGAACCCGAGCCGACTGGTGGTGCCTTTGGCCAGGAGGCGCAGCCGCAGTGCAGGGGAGGACGACCGGGCAGAGGCCGCTGCCAGGGTGCGCTCCACGTCCCCTTCCGTCCTCTTTTGCGCCGTTAGCTTGGTATGAGGAGAGCAAATCGTCGTCTTGTGCAGGAGTTGCGGTGACGTCAGAACAACGCGGAGCTCCGATTGGCTTTGATTAAAGGGTAGGGAGTAGACCTCAATGCTTGATGCCTCAAAGTCTACCCACTGTTGTTTTTTTTTTTTTTCAATCGGCCAACAAGAGTTTGACGTTCTGACATCGTTGCAACCGCTGTGCAAAAAGCAGACAAACTTACACTTCGCACAGGAACTCTGTACAGGCCTTGCTCGTTTGTGTTGGTTGGAGCGTGTCGGCAGCGAATTAGAGGCGCAGCTGTTGGTTTGATGTCGTAGCATACTCAACTAGTAGCTTTGCACCGCGCGAAGGGGACACGGGGGGAAAGTGTCAACGCGTTATGCCGAAGCACTATCAAAGATGGGAAGCTTGCACTGGAGGAGGGACTAAAAATGCTTCTTGCCGTCGTCATCCTGCCAGTGTCTAAGTTGTCAGCGTAAAGTGGAACCCTTTGTGTGCGAGCACATTGCCCCGTTTTCGTGGACAGGCCGGAGGAGCGACGGGGGGCCCCGTTCCCCCTCCCCGGCCCCCGGCGAGCACGGCGGGGGGCGCGTCCGGGGTGGCGGGCGGGGGGCGGCAGCGTGCCCACGGCGTACAACGACAAGGTGGTGGCCTTCCTGCGCCAGCCCAACATCCTGGACATCCTGAGGGAGCGCCACCCGGCCATCGCCTCCAACGCCGCCCTAAGGGACCGCGTCCACTGCATACGCGCCGACGGGACCGCCGCCCTCGGAAGGCTCTCGCACGACCTCGACCTCACCATCCTGCTCAGGTCGGTCCCTCTTTTTTTAATGCAAGGTGCGTTCGGACGAAAACTGTGTAGGTGCTTTACCAAATACTCGCTTTATACGCGCATTGATAGATGTTAGAAGATCTGGTGTCTTATTTACTCGATTCTGGCAAGACCACATCTCTAATGCAAGGGGTAACTTTGAATACTGACCCACGGCAAAGACAGAAAGTGAAACCGCGAGTGTGACGTGATCGAGGCTAACTGAGGAGTATTAGAGTACACATTCACGGTGCTTCGTTCTGTTTGGTTAGAACTCCCGACAAGAACGAAAGCAGTGAAGGTTTTAAAAAAAACGTACAAAGCCAAGGCAAAATACTTACAAACCTTTGAGCCGGTTTAGTTATCTTAAACGCAACTATGGATGCAGGCTAACATCGAGAGAATCATACAAAGCGCCAGGTTTATGATGGGTTGGGATCTGGATTCCATGGTTCCTATTTCAAGAATTGAAAATATGTTGCCAGCATAAGACTGAAGAACTGTTATAACACGGAAGGTTGCAGTTTTTTCGGGATGGTGGCACTCGGGAAAGAGGGGACACAAGCCTAAAATTTTTCAAATATTTTTTTTTTAAATTCATTTTTCAATTTTGAGTTTTTTGGTTTTAGAAACTAATTATACACCCGTACACCAAATTTGATAACCATACGCCAAATAGTTACATTGATATAAAATATTTTCAACAAATTGTGAGGCAGTAACAATGTAAAGAAGTTCATTGTTCGCACGCATTTTTCTCAGTTTTCCACTTTTTGCTGCAAATTTCATTTGAAGGAATCTTGTTCAAAGGTGACTTGGTGTTTGTGACTTCGAAAGTGACTTGATTGTGGTATTCTGATACCACAATCAAGTTGTTTCTGGACTGAAATTTACTGGGAAATCGGGCTATCTACTTTATTTTGATTTAAGTTAAAGTCCTAATTGAGTAAAAACAATGTTTTCAAAAATTGACGTAGGATGGATATGCACCTCATAATTTGAGGTAATAACTCTTCCTCAAATATTTACATTTGAGTTATAAAAACTAGATAGCCCGAAGTCCCAGATCCCCCACTTTATAGTCAAGCAGTCAAAATGGTGCTTAATAGGTTTATTTGCATGTCATAGATTTCTTAACAAAGAGTGACACATCTTCTTATGCAGGTATGTAAAGTTGTCCTAGAGAGCTCAAAGTTTTCACAGTACATCTACATCTTATATTAAATCTCTCCTGCAAATTTCATTCCGATCAAAGGAGTTCTTAAAAATTATTTTACAAAAATTTTATTTTTTATATTGCGTTGAAGTTCAGTATACTGATGTATTTCTCAGTAATGATTTCACGATCATAATGTGAGGGTCAAGTTTAGAGCACAGTATTTTTTAGAAAAACTTGCGTTTCTTAAATGTGGGAATATGGTCTACTACAGTCTACATGTTGCTTGTATTCCAGTACCTCGGAATACAAGAAGCATCTTATCAAAGATAGCAGTCCACCACCTCTTATGGTGTCAAAAACATGAGATCTGACTGCAGTGGGCAATATTGGGTGTCAGTGGCTTGACTCGTGCTGTGCTTGCTTCATTTCAGTGCTTTGATGGTGGCTGTCGTGTAAATGCTTCCCGCGTCGCTGTCCCATCTGTCTTTGCAGCCTGTTTGAACAGGAGATCATGTCATACATTCCGGCCCAGTACACCTCTGGGAGCAGTTCTAGTCATCGCTCACCAAGAGATTCTCCGCAGCCTTCGCCACAGGCCTCCCCAGGTGAGCAGCCGACCATGACAACTGGTGGAAGGACTCTTCCTTTTGGTATTCGTTTATGAATTCCTACTCGCCCTTTAGTTGAATACTCTAGTAAGCCTAAAATTCTAACATGCAGATAATACAGAAACCCAGCAGGTATTCAGGTTTGGTTTGTAGAACCCGAATGTACACACACTAATCTCAGCCGTGGCCTCTTATATCAGTGTTCTCCATCGACCGAGAATATCCACGCTTGGGGCTGCCGAGTTGGAAAGTACCATCGAAACTTTTTGCCCCTAGGTGATGCCACTCGGCCATGCACAACGTTGTGAAGTACTCAGTTCACTATTTTTAAAATAACTGGCACCACCTGGTGAAAAACTGGGTTCGAGGATTTCCAGAATGAAACAATGTGTTTCTTTAGAAAGAGAGGGTAGAGGCGTCTTTGTACAAACCTAGGAGCAAAAGATAAGTCACTGTAGGCATGGACGGGGCGTCGTGGAAGCCTAACCTAGGCCATTGCTGCTCGTCGAGCCAGCAGGATCTAGCTTTTTTGGTCAAGGAAGTGCCCTGTCTCGCTTGAGCATGTGCTCAAGCATTTTCATACCAGAACTTCCTGGACCGACGATTTCTGAAATAATGGATTTTTACTGTCTATAGTCGGTTACAAGTCAAGAAGGTAGGAGAAGCTCCTCCCACAAGCGTAATGCGCCCGTTTCAAATCTCTCCGCAGTCGAAAGAAGAGTTCACTGGAAACGCTCCTTGTTCCGCTTCAATGGATTCCCACTTGTCTCCAATCCCACTTTTTAAGAAAGTGACCTTTGTATTCATCGGAGAGGGAACCGAGCCCCTGAAAGCAGCCTTTGTATCCATCGGGGGGGGAAGCTAATCCCCGAAAGTCGTATTTGTTTCCGTCGGTGGGGGAGAACTCTAATCTCCCTCTCGTGGTTTCCACAATGCTAAGTCAAAGTCGAAAGATAAAGCAAATATGTACAGAAAGGCAAGACCCTCCTCGCGCGTTGTCCGCGACGTCACGGAAACGGTAGGACGCTATTGGATGCGGAGGTGGCGGAGGGATATCTGATTCCCTTTGAGGGGCATTTGCCGCTACCTTCTTAACCTGTAACTGACTATAGTCCGTGCAGGCCTGGTTTTCCTCCTAGGTTGATTATGTCCAGCTTGATTATATATCTATGGTATAGTCCAAGTTGTTTTGCTCGGTTGCTTGGCTGCTTAAATGCAAGTGGCAGCTGCCTTTATCAAAATCTTTCTTCTCACACCCTGCAGGACTTCAAAGGGCCAACGTTCGAGCGCCTGCCCCTTACCGACGGGACTTTGAGGCCAAGCTGCGGAACTTCTACCGCAAGCTGGAGTCCAAGGGCTATGGTCAGGGCCCCAGCAAATTAAAGTGAGTACAAACTTCCAGTTGCTGCGGAAGCTTTATTGCTGGCTGCGCTGGGCCAGTGCCGTGAGCTCCAGGAGCCACGTGGCCCACGCAGACGTCTGAAGCAGCATCGTCTGCGGTTACTTGTCTTATTGGTTGATAGAAAAAGAGACGACGATACCGCTGGTGTCTCTTTTTTTCTGTACCAATGGTATCTCTTTCTCTTTACCTTTTCTTGAATCTCTGTTTTTTTTTTCATGTTTTTGCCTTTTAAGTTCATGCTGGCTCCATCCCAGTGTCATGCGCCAATTAGCTCAACTCAGGCCGTTACTTAGTCAGCTGGGACCTTTGATTCTAGCTTATTTATTGGGAATAATAACTATTGTAATGGTTTCCTTAAATGCCTTCAAAAAGTGTGTCTAAGGGAACATGAATAGATAAATAGGCAATAAGCAGTACTACATTTTTGGTGGCATGCCCTTCCCCTGTGGATTCGAAATGTGATGCTGGGCAACACGAGCTGTTTGGTGGAACATCTGAGCAAAGGAATGAAATGCCCCACAGGGTGTTGCCCCCAGCTCAACGTCATCAGGATGCACCTAGGAAAGCAGTACAGCAATCCCTCGTTACAAAATTGCTTTTTTTTAATTATCGCTTTTATCGAAGTTCAAGGTGGTCCCGACCGAAATGCATGCATTTTTGACCGGATTATTCGTAGTGTATCGGTGGCCGACCACATTTATTACGAAGGCCGAGGTGCCGAAAGCATGCAAGCCTACACGGAGGCGCACGAAGACACAGCTGGCAGAGCGCCGCTTCCGATGCCAATGCGCCGACGCGGAGACGCGGGCAGGGAGCAGCGTCAGTGTTCCAACGCCGCTCATGACGCCTGCAGCCGACACTGCCCGACTCCTGTCGGAATCGAGTCAAGGGAGCGATGGATCCCAGAGGTCCCTTCGGGAGCCCCCGACGCACCCGCGTCTGACTGCATGCGCTTGCGGCGTACTACACGCACACGTGCGTTGTGTGGGAAATCCGGAGTGTTTACCGAAAGTTGCTTAGATCTGCGAGGTTGAGAAAAGTGGCCGGCCTAAGTGCGAAATCGCCAAAGAATTCGACATTCCAGCATCGGCTGTTCGACCCTGTCCGGCTTTTTGCAGAACAAGCAAGGAATATTGGACGAGTTCGAGAAGTTTCTCATAGCCGCCTCGGTGGCTCCGAGGCGAGAGCGCTGGCCTACGGATCCCCATGTGGCGGGTTCAAATCCCGACCGAGGTGCCCGCAATCTGACGGAGGTTTATTGCAGAGGAGGCGCCGTGTAACCGAGCTTTCGGTTGCACGTCAAAGGATCCCCAGGTGGTCGAAATTAATCCCCAGTCCTCCGCTGGGGCGTGCCAGATGCCCGTCGTTGGTTTGGCACGTAAAACCTCAGAATTTGACTTTTGATTTTGAGAAATTTCTCATGCAGGAGAAAGCGCACCCACGGCCCGAAAATGAAAGATCGCCAACTGCTTTGCGCACGTCTGATTTTCTCTCACGAGCATGCTTTCCGAGCCGGTGCATGATTTCCATAGCTGCAGCGCTCTCAACAGGGGTGCGTAAAGACATGGTGGCAAAGCCGCCGAGGATAACTTTGATTTGATAGCGCTCGTCGATGTGGACGGGTCCGTTGTTGCTCCAGCTACGGATGCTGCAATCGTAGACCTTGCGTCCGGCCAGGGGAAACACGACGTGATGTCGGAAAGGTACCTCGGGAAACGCCAACGACTGCGGAGACGCACGACATCCTACAACTGATTCCATGGAGTGCAGCGGTGGTGACAGTGTTCTTGCGACGTCTGGAGCAGTTCGAAAAGAACTGATGCCCGGATGAAATTATTGGCAAATTCCACTTAAATATTTTCTTACTCGGTAAAGCCGCCACGAGATGTTCATAATTAAGGTTTGTTTGATTAAATATACGGTCGATCCGCAGTGTTCCCGTCCATCTTCAAGGCTGCTGGCACTGTTTTTTTTTTTTGGCTCTATCGCTTTTATAGAATTACCGCTTATATCATATTTTTTGTTGTCCTGTTAAGGGATTACTGTATATGTTGCACCTGACTGTATTTGCATTAAACATAGTTCCGAGCAATGACAGTGGCTTGCCTGCATTCCTAATTTTGAATTGTTCTCTAATTCCAGACTAAACATCCGTCGGGATCACCTACTCGAAGACGCATTCACAAAGATAATGGCTGCGTCCAAGAAAGACCTCCAGAAGTCGAGGCTTTACATAGGATTTGCAGGAGAAGAAGGGTAAGCCGAGCCTTCGTTAACTTACAGAGGTCATGGGTTTTCTTCGAAGGTAGTGATGGTTACTACATTTATGGGCAGTAACAAATTGCCTGCAGGCATTGAGGAAAGTTGCTAACTTATACCTTGTCACATCGGCATTTTAAAGGCTTCCGAAATCAAAAGAACTTGAGCAATCAGCAGAACAGGGCTTGACACAAGTAGCACAAAAAACGAACCGGCAACCTTTTAGCTGAATTCCTAAGCTGAGCAGCATTTGGCTAAATGCCATTTGAAGTGCCTGTTTGACATGAGTAAAACTCTGGGAGTGCCACAAATGAGCTAGGTTTTTCTCTAGTCTTTGAACAGTCAACAAAAGCTGTGAGCACAAGCTAGAAGCTCTGAGAGCCATCTGCTCACTCTCGCTTCATTTGGAGAAGCGAGAGTAGTCTTCGCATACGGGGACAAGGCTGGATCAGCCACGTTAGTAGACAAATTAAACCAGATGTCTGTCCGAATAATTCTTGGGGTAAAATCCATAAAGTGTATTATTCCTCGGGGTCCACGTTCCCGGGAATTTTCTTTATTACAGTGGTAGCTGGTGTGGATTTTTCCCTCTACAGGAAATGACGTTCATTGTTGATGTTGTAGTGTTTGTAGTTGTTGTCATTGTTGGTGTTGTAGTTGGCATTGTAGGGCATCTGTCGTTGATGCCAAATCTTTGAAAACAATCGCCTGCCGGAATCGAACCTGGGTCCGCTGTGTACAAAGTGGAGGCATTACCACAGAGCTACACCACAGCGTTAATAACCCGCCCTATACTTAATTTTTCTAGTGCCCAATGCCATTGCATGTGCACTCTGAAAAAAAAAAAAAAATAGCCGATAACAGAATGCCTTTGTAGCACTGTCAATGCCATGAGTTTGTGCCAGGAGATGTGCCTTCCAGTGCCCTGGAACAGACGAGAAACAAAAACGTTGAGAATAAAATAGTTGGATGTCTATTGTGCTCCGAGCGTTCACGCACCCCCCAGTGCGTGAATGCAAGGCTGATGCCCGACAACTTCGCCGTGACTTGTTGCACCTATTGTTATGACTGTACTGTGGTTTAACACGAGACTGCTCCTTTTTTTCGTTATTTTGGTTAGACAAAAGTAAGCATTGATCGGAACTTTTGTTAAAAAAAAAAAACAAGACACGGCCGTGGGATTCCCCAACCTCCACTGAAGGTGCGCGTAACCTGAACACTTGGAAAACATCCCAGTACCGATAAGAGAAGGAAACCAGACAAGTGGCGTGGTTACCGAGGAGAGGAGCATCCTCGCAGACAGTCCAGTGTTGGTTGTGTTCCGGGTCAGCACAAAATAAAGCTGTGTTTAAAGATTTCTTTCCACGAAACTTTTGTTTTTTTTATTCAAGGACAGCTCCAGCTTTGAGTTTTACTGTTTCCTCAGACTTTGATGAAACCAGCCCGGCGGTCACTTATTGGCAGTTCGTCAGAATCTACTGAAAACATGGAGCCCTAATTATACTCAAACAAAACCGAAGTAGAGTTCGGCCAGACGAGGGGTGGCCGTGGTGTCGTAAGTAGATGTAGTGTTTGATTTGACGACGCTGCAGAGGCCTCGTCAAGTTTTTGGTGAGGCCTCTGCAGTCTACATCAGTGACTGGTGATGTCTGACGTGAAATAAAATATTGATTGATCGGTTCATTCCTATCGCTGCGCTTTCCCAGGCTGGACTATGGGGGCCCCTCCCGGGAGTTCTTCTTCCTGCTCTCGCGGGAGCTGTTCAACCCGTACTACGGCCTGTTTGAGTACTCAGCCAACGACACGTACACGGTGCAAGTGAGCCCCATGGCAGCCTTTGTGGACAACCAGCACGAGTGGTTCCGGTTCAGCGGGCGGGTGCTGGGCTTGGCCCTGGTGCACCAGCACCTGCTTGACGCCTTCTTCACCCGGCCCTTCTACAAGGCCCTGCTCAGGCTGTGAGTGGATGGGCCAAGTCGCGTCGGAAAGAAGGCACGACTGCGGCGTGACGGCCGTCGCATTTGTGACAGCAGTGAGGCGGAAAGGCCGGTTCACATATTTACGTTTGAGTGTGACTGAGAGTGTTTGTGACCGCTTCCGAGGAGAGAACTCGTCGGCATCATCGGTCGAGTCAATTTCGAGCTTTTCCGATTCGAATATTACTTCTTGGAGTGTTGCGAGATTGAATCTACGCACTACGAGAAATGATCACCTATAACATTGTCCGAAATATTTTTAAACCCACGACGAAAGAGTGAAGCATACAATTTTTCTTTAATTAGACTCATGTCAGGATTGTTTTAGGGTTATCCAGTAGATGCCACAAGCATGTCATCGCGAGCGGTGACAAGCGGTTGCGACATACTCGAAAAACGGTGCCCAAAAGAAGTCCTCGACTTTTGGGCACCCTTTTTAACTTAAAGGGGCCCACCAACAATTTTTTGACAGGTTTGAAGTTCGCGCTGAAACGGAGCTCCATCAAAGCAGGAACACCCAGGAAAAAAAAAATTACAGAAATTCGCAATATTTTGCGAGTTATTAGCAAATTAAATTTTGCAAAAAACAACTTTTAATAAGCAAAACATTGCGCTTCATGACGTAAAATGAAACAGTTTAGCGATTAGAGCAAAGCGGTTGGCCAATTGGACGCGAGTTTGGTTGATAGCCCGTCGACCCGGTCGGCTCATCGGCCATTAGGCCTAGTTGCAACCATCGCAGCTTTGGGATCGGGTTGCCATCATCGATGAATTTACCGGGCTTATCGGATTTTGAGGGCGGATCTGGGCGTCGCGCCGTACGAGGACACTCCACGCAATCGCCGCGTCTCTGCCTTGATCCGCTTCGACAGCCGCGGAAGACTCGTCTCCCGCAACTCCGCCACCGGAGCCGCCTGGGCGACTAGGAGGTACAAACTGGGGAGCTTTCCCGTTGGGCATGATATAAGCTGGGTCCCGTCGCCGCACTTCGCTCGAACAGTGAAAAGTCTGTCACAGCACTAAAAGAAAATAAGGGTTCCCCTCGCTCCTCTTACTGCTTTTAGTTGACCGGGACCGGGGGCGCACAAGTGAAAATACGATGCGCGTTGTCCGCACGGACCACTTGGCGTCTGCTCGCGATGGTACATCGCGGACGCTGCTGGGAGGCGCGCATGAACAACGAGGCGTTGTTCTCGCCGTTTTTTGAACTTTACTTTGCAACTTTATTAGCTCTGTAAAAATGACTTGTTTGAGAAATAATGTCTGTTAACGTGTGATATACTTTATTTCGCTTCAAAATTCCTGGGACGGCTCTCGCCAATCACGAAACCCAGAGAATGTGACGTAGAGTGAAAGGGAGCGCCGTTTTGCGCGCGCATTCGGCACCTCGCGGCGCCACCGTCGGAGAAGGTGTTTCCGAGTTGTCAAATTAAAATATGATTCGCTAATATTTTCAAACTCTTTTGTTGTCCAGTGGGTTTCCGGGACCACTAGCGTGTAGAAACCGCAAAAAAAAGTCGACGCTCAAATACTGTTGGAGGGCCCCTTTAACGGCACCAGCTATCATTTTTCCCCAGCACGCTTCCGGTCCGCGTATATTTCCACGTTTTTTATGCATTGTCCTTTTACCGTAGGAAGGAATTGTGTCGACGGCGTCATGAGTGATTGTTTCCCGAAGCGTAGCGCGTGGGTTTGGTCTCGCAGATGCTGCAGAATCCAGCGTCCCGTTCGAAACCGTAAGTGTGCACTTGGGGCGAGAAATGGCGAATTCGGCACGCGCTTCGGAAGCGATACCAAAGCGGCGACGGACGGCATCACGGAAACCGGCGATCATGCTGTCGGACGTCGTCATCTTGGTGGTTGATCGTAGAAGTTTTGGGAAAAAAGTATGAGCGAACGCGAACGTCACCGCCGCCGTTGGGCTCTGACTCGTGAGCGTGGACGTGATTCTGAGTGATCCTGATGGCATTGTCTGGCCCCCTCCCTCGCAGGCCCTGCTCGCTGAGCGACCTGGAGTACCTGGATGCGGAGTTCCACCAGTCGCTGGTCTGGCTGAAGGAGAACGACATCAGCGACATGGGCCTGGAGCTGAGCTTCTCGGTGGTGGAGGAGGTGGCCGGCCACGTGCTAGAGCGGGAGCTCAAGCCGGGCGGGCGCTCCCTGCCCGTGTCGGAGCGCAACAAGAAGGAGTACATCGAGCGCATGCTCAAGTGGCGCCTGGAGCGGGGCGTTGCCGACCAGACGGAGTGCCTCGTCAGGGGCTTCTACGAGGTGGGCCGTCCTCATTCTCGGGGGCCGTGTCTACTCCGTCTCTCCTAGAGCCGCCTAATAAGCTACGCTTCGGAGTGGTGGTTCTCGAATGAGGATCTGCACATCCTTTGAGGTCACTTTCTTAGGGTGCCCAAAGCCCTCGACCTTGGCTTGGACCCACACATTTATGTGTAACTAAATCAAGGTTAAAAAAACCAAACCATGTGCACTGAGTGAGTAGGGTTGATAGTTATCCGTCTCAAAGCTTCAAAGTTGCCTCGAATTGACTATCGTCATTGTATTCATCCGATAGCCCCACCTGGTGGTTGTCCTCCATATATTCTAAGACAGCCTGAGCTTTCCTACTCGGCATCTTAAGGGGGGATACGGCCCCGAAATTCCTTTTTTTTTCGAAAAAATGCATTTTTAAAAAATATTGTATTTGGGTTCACTATATTCTGGAGCATAGTTTCAGAAAGTTTCATTTATAAATACGCAGTATTTATTTCGCAAAAAATTATTTTCGACAAGCTCGCGGCCGCGCGGGCTGCGCGCGGAGATCCGCCGAGCGAGCAGAACAGCGAAGTTCGGCGTTTTCAAATTAGGCCTACTCCGCACTCGTTCGACGCAGCCGAGGTATCTTACCCTCGTTGGAAGCGCCGTTTCTTCTAGTTTCTGCCCATAGAAGCTTGCTACATTGGAGGCTATCTGTGGCCCGGGAGAACCCCGTACAAACAAGCCGAAAAAACGTGGGAACTGTGATACCAGCAATCCTATTGGTTGCGACCCGAAACGGGGCTCATGATTGGCCGCCTTCGGTGACGTCGCTCCTTGTTCGCCTGATACGCGCGCTTTCGGCTGCTTCTTTCGCTTCTGATCGTATCGCTACTTCGCCGCTGTTTAGATTCGTTTTCCCTTTTTGTTCCCGGTAGCTTTGATCCCGGTAGTTTTTCTGCCGAGGAATGCCTGCCTCCAAGGTTAGCACTCGCAGTAGCTTTGGCCGGCGTTCTCGATGGCGAAAACCGAGGGGTCGATCAGCGGCACTCCACGCAAAGGACGGGGACCCGTCTCCGCCGCCGCCGTCACCATTACCATCTTCAAGCTCAAGTGCGGCTTTGCGGACATCGGAGCCTACAGCTTCATCTCCGAATGCTCATCGGCTTCCTGTCTCCTCCGAATCGGATGTGCTGACCACGTTCGAGAAGAAGCTCAGCCTGCTCGATTTTGACGCGGGGACTACGGACGACCCGGAGCCGACAGACGCTCCCGTTGAAAAGCCGCTGGACGGCTATCGGCTCCTCAGTGTGTCGGCCGTGCAAACTCTTGTTGCGGCTTTGCTCTGCCCCAAGTGCCACGGAGAACTGCTGAGCTTGCGAGAAGAAGGAATTGGCGTCAACCTTCAGTTCGTTGTTAGCTGCTCGACTTGCGGAGACATCGTCACGACACCGCATTCACCGTCAATTGGCAAGTCTCGACAGAACGAACTCGCGGTGCGTCTCGGCGTCGTTGGAAGAGACTGTGGCATCAGTTTTACGAAGCTCACGAATCTTTTCGGGGGCCTCAACGCTCCGCCCCCGATGCACGTCAAGTCGTACCAGAAGATTGCAACGAAAGTACACGATGCGGCGATGCAAGCGGCGAGTGACGCAATGAGGGACGCTGCGCAAGCCGTGAGGGACGCGCAACCGACCGGGAACCCGAGCGCCGGCAGCGATCGTTTAGATGTCTGCATCAGCTACGATGGCACGTGGCATAAACGTGGCCATACATCGCACTTCGGAGTTGGCGTTGCTATCGAACTGGAGACCGGCTTGGTGCTTGACTTTTCGGTCCAGAGCAAGTATTGCCACGGGTGCGAGTTGGGCCCCAATGAAGACGACGAACACTTCGAGGAGTGGGCAGAAACCCACAAGGCAACTTGCCAGAAGAACTACGAGGGATTGTCCAATGCAATGGAGGTACAGGCGGCTGCAACCATCTTCAGCCGGTCTATTGAGCTACACAATATGCAGTACGTCACTGTTTTGTGCGACGGCGACAGCAAGGCCTTCACGCATGTGTCCAGCCTTGACCTGTACGACAAGGACATCCACAAGGAGGATTGCATCAATCACGTAGCAAAGAGGATGTATGCAGGTCTGGAGAAACTCAAGAAAACAAAAAAAGGACTGGGAGGAAAAGGGAAGCTGACCAACGTAGTGATGAAAAAGCTGACGAACTACTATGCTTGCGCTTTGAAGGACAACGCGCCTGATGTCGTGAAGATGCAGCGAGCCATCTTTGCCAGCCTGTTCCACACGTACTCCACAGACGAGGAGCCCCGTCACGTGGGCTGTCCAGATGGCGAGGATTCGTGGTGCCATTTATAACCGCCACAAGGCCCTTGAAGCAGCCTTCGACACCACGGCCACACAGACCAGCATTCTCCAAAGACGTTGCAAGAGAGCTTGTTCCAGTGTACAACCGGCTGTCGCGAAAGGAGTTGCTCCTCCGATGCTCCCGCATGATGACACAAAATGCGAACGAGTCTTTCAACGCCCTTATTTGGAAGCGATGCCCCAAGACGGAGTTCGCCTCCTTGCGAACTGTCGAGACAGCTGTCGCCCTAGCTGTCCTCGAGTTCAACCTTGGACCTAAAGGTTTCGAAAGGACGCTCCAAAAGATGGGCATCACCCCAGGAAGCCACCAGGAGAAGCATGCCCACAAGGCGACTCTGGGGAAGATCGTGAAGGCCAGAGTGAAGGCACAGGACTCATCAAAGCTCGCACACAAAAGACGGAAGCTGGAGGCTATTGCCAGGGAGCAACAGAGCCTGGAGGTCGAAGGTGCCACCTATGTCCCAGGCGGATTTTGAGAACAAGCCGCAAGCTGCTGCCAGCAAGCAATGCGCCCATGAAGTTGAAGGTGCCACCAATGACTCGGTTGGATTTCAAGTTTCTGGCATCGTCCGAAAATAAAAAAAAACAGAAGTTGAAACTTCAACCGCATTTTTCTCAGTTTCACTTTTTGACAGGAATTCTTGTTTTAGGAAAGCTATCGTTTGACATTCAGAATAATGAGGGACATCATTCAAGGTCCTCTGGGACTGAAATTTTCTGGGGAACAAGATAGACTACTTCACAGTTAAAAAAATACACTCCTTCATGAAAAAAAAAATAAAAAACTGAAACATGAAAATTTTAGAATTTTTTTTTAATTTTGGGATGTTGCTATTTTCATCATAATTGAATATTTTGCAATATATTTTTTATCTAGGTTGCACTGTGGGTATTGTTCTTCTCATTGAAGCAGGTAGTTTGCCACCAGCTAATATTATTTTTCTACGATAGACTTCCTAATGAAGTGTCTTTTTTCTGAAGTGTAAAAATCGTAGCATACTGTAAAGTTCACCGATAATGCTAAAACTTGGCAGATTATCCTTCCTCATAGTGCTGAAATAACCGTCAAAATTTGAGCCAAATTGGGTGAAGGGTTCAAAAGTTGACCCTCCCAGGCCATATCCCCCCTTAAGCTTGGGACGTCGCATTTTCTAATCGCAACAGTTGTCGACCAAGGGGTCGATTGTAAAAGTTCTTACGAAGGGTATTCACTTGCTTCTTGTTCTGCTTTGAAACAAGTGTCAAAAGGAACGTGTTCATGTTTTGTGTCTCGTAGGTCGTCGACTCTCGTCTGGTATCCGTCTTCGACGCCCGAGAGCTGGAGCTGGTGATCGCGGGGACGGCAGAGATAGACACGGCGGACTGGAGGAAAAACACTGAGTACCGATCGGGTGAGGGACTGTGCATTAAGGGCCTCCATACCCAGCTTTTGTTAAAGACTAAAGGCTGTTTCTCACATTTGTGTTTAATGTGGCTGAGTGCGTTGTTGGGGCTTGTAACTGCCAGTGAAGAGTGATCACACTGACACTATTTACCGGATGGCCCTGAAACTCTTCCAGTCAGCGTATAGACCAACGCGCGCCATTTACAAACAAGCCCGCATTTGCGCACACCAGGTTCGCGTGGAGGGAAGCGGCTGCACGGGCGTCACGCCGACGGCAATGCCACCGCAGCGACGTGGCGTTGTACCCGAGCATCGATGTATAAACTAGACCGAAGCTTTTTTGAAGTGTTTGCGAGATCCAATTTACGCTTTGTGTACGAGAAAGGGTCACTAATTACATTAAGAGCATTATTTCTAGCCCACGGTGCAAAAATAGCCCGTAAAACATTTGAAAAATTTGTGCAGTTTGGAAGTGTTTAAAGGGTAACTGAAGCAGTTCTGTATTTGAGGAAAAACACTTGAATCGTCTTCATTTGACCTCCAGGATCGGGAATATCGAGATTATTTTTCAATTTGGTGCGTGAAGGCTGCAGAAAATCGTTTTCAAAGTACCGCTAGAGCCCATCCTTCTCGGAGCGCGACATCATATTGTGAGTTTTCGGAACTTCTGCTCTCGCTTATCTTCAGCACGTATCAAAGCTACGCACGTGCACTCTTGCTATCTTTTGAAAAAAAAAAAAAAAAAGGTCAGCAAAATATGTCACGACTGGTGTCAGGGGGGGAGTATACCTGTAAAGCTTGCAATTGCACGGGCCGCCCACACGAGCAACACGCACTTGGTCGCCGAAAGATACTAGTACGACATAGTGACAGGTTGGAGGTTTTTCGTGTTTTCTCGCGTTTAGTTACATGCTATAAAATTCACCTCCAACTCTTTTTTTTTTTTTTTTTTGTTTTCCCCCAGAACTTTTTTTGTTTTTTTGTAAGGGCTACACTCGCGCTCTTTCGGTCTGCGCCCTCCTCCTCCCGTGACGCACGTCTGCGGGCATTCCTTGCAGGCTACCACGACGGCCACCCCGTCATCCAGTGGTTCTGGCTGGCCATTGAGAAATTTGACAACGAGCGTCGCCTGCGGCTGCTCCAGTTTGTCACGGGCACCTCGAGCATCCCGTACGAGGGCTTCGCCGCGCTGCGCGGCAGCAACGGGCCGCGCAAGTTCTGCATCGAGAAGTGGGGGAAGCCCACCAGCCTGCCCAGGTGAGCTTCGGCACAGAAATGTGGGAACGTTTGTTGAATGCCTCGAGCCGTGCGCCACGAAGATGAGCAACCCTCGTGCGGTCGACACGAGCACCGCACAAACTTTCGATTTGGGCGCGCAACAATCGATGCCTCGAGTTGCGTTCGGGCAGTGGCTCTTGCCCAATCACCACGACGGCGGGAAGGGTCGATCGTTAGCAATGTGCGGAACTCGGCACTTACCGCGTGCTTTGCCGAACCCGGCACGTTGCTACAGTAAACCTTAATGGCATGTTATTGGTTGCAGGTGACGTGACTGTTTGTTCTGACTGAAAGTTGAGGGAGTGAACGCTGCTCGTTTTTTTGCTAATCTTTTTTTTTGCAACTGCCAATGCGCGAAAAACAAAAAAAGTAATTTGTGTTTTATAGGTAGGATTCTGTGTTTTCGGAGTTGATTTTTCGCCAAATTCGGGGAGTGTTTTTGGAGTTCATTTTTTTCAGAAAACTCAGTTTTTGGAGTTTATGTTTGTTTGATTCCCGATTCTCCACAATTCTGTGTTTGATTTCACCGTGTTTTCTATTAAAAATAAATAAATAATATACAGGTGTAAACATATACTAAATAAAACAAAATAAGACGCGCTTGTATCGAATAATATTTCTTTAGCTGGATTTAGCATTGGTGCCATTACCATTGGCAATACTAATTTGTCCCACGACAAAAGTTGCACTCAGGTGTTGATTCAATAAACGTCGATACCTTAAAATCAATCAACTCCGAGAGGTAGTCGCTGGAAAGCTCGTATTCATCCCATTCTATTTTATCAACCTATCCCGTGGCCGCGCAAAGTGGAGTGTTAAAGGATGTAACAGAGAAGTTTCAACTACCCCTAGCTCTTCCCTATTTTATGCAATCTGTAAGGTCCATACCTTTCACTGTTACAAAAACACAACCTTTCCCTCCTCTAAAGCACAAATAGTATGGTCCAAACTGGAAACCAAAACAGTGGCTTTTGTCATGACCCGAAAGTACAATGACCTGTTGTCCTGAATGAACCTTGATGAGATAAGCGCTGAGACCCCTCTTGACAGTGGTCTGAGATGTGAAAGATAGCTGTGATGGCATTCTACCAGGACCATTGACCCTGTATAAGGGTCAATGGTCCTGGTAGAAGCTAATCCCTGTAGAAGGGTCAATGGTCCTGGTAGAACTTAATTGCAAAAAATGTCCTCTCTTTTTTCTTTTTTTTTAGGGGGGGGAGGGGTGTATTGGCACATCAAAATTTGGAGATTATCGGATAAATCAGATTTGAGTAAAATTTCTATCCGAAAACACGGTATCAAATGTGAAGGAATAATTCTAAGCGGTATTTACTGAAAGTACAAAAACTGTTGCGTTGTCCCTTTAATTGATGGCTTCCTGAATGTATCCAACTCCTCTCTTCCTTCGTCCATGCAGAGCTCACACCTGCTTCAACCGTCTGGACCTTCCTCCGTACACGTCCTTCGACATGCTGTACGAGAAGCTGCTGCTGGCCGTCGAAGAGTCCAGCACCTTCGGCATCGAGTGAAGGCCGAAACAAAGGAGACCGATAGTTCTACCACTGGACACCCAGAGCGTCGTCGTCGTTGTCTCGGTGTCCGGAAGTCGAGCCGAGCCGGCATCACGAGCCACGCTGCCCCAACGAGGCGGCCCGTCCCCCAGAGCTGCCTCTCTGCCACGTGTGTGCCAGCCAAACTTTGTACGTGCCGGACTGCTAGCTGTGCGCCGTTCCCATCCATGCCGACCAAGACGACAATCCCGGAGGCATGGATGGCGACTTCTGCTGCCTTTCCCCATTTCGTCCCGCGGCTACGGTTTCCGTATATTTATTCCAGTCCCTTTTTTCCGCGGCGCTTCTGCGTTTACGGCTCCAGGGCTGCTTTGCCAAATACAATTTGTCGACCGTTTTCTTTTTTTTTTTTAAGGATGTCCCACGTGCTGTTATGAGCACGAGGAAGTTACGACTTGTGTTGCTTATATGCAATTGCGGGACAAACACCATGGCAATCACCGGTTTTTCTTGCACCAAGAAACTGGCGTCTCGCAAGCAAGTAGCGTAGTCTCCAAGCCGCAAGCCTTCCTCGCCGCGCCCCGGAAACAGCGCGACGCGAGGCGGCCGCTTCGGGTACGGCGACTGTCATACATGCGCGGTGGGCACGGTCACACCCAAGTACCACGGTGGGAAGGAGCCAAATGAAACGGAGCTCGGTCTGTGCATGGGAGGAATCACCCTGGTGTCCTTATTGTTTTTGTATTTTTTCTCGCCTCGCTGAAATGCACGAGAATAGAATCGTGTCAAGGCGGTGCGTCCGATGTTCCTTTGCATTTGCGTCCCACGCTGCCGACTTTGAAGGGTCAATCGATTCGAGGCGAGGTGTTGCATTTTTGCCAGGTATTGTTCATAGTAGTAGTTACGACGAGTCCTTTAACATATTTATTCTTTCGGTTTCTCCCTCAGGACACAAACGGGTGTAGTAGCATATTAGTCGATTAACAGTTCCCCCTATTTATTTTTGACGCTGCCACAAAACGGAATCTACCGTGTTTTCCTGTCTTTGTTTTCTTTTTTGTATTTGAATTAATATTTGCAGATATTTAGGAAGTATTTGGTTGTTATGAAAGTATAGTGTTTTCTAACACGTTGTCCATTATATTTTATTGCTGCTCCTTGTTGTGGTACAACTGCAACAATTTTTTTTTTTTGGTGTGTCGCTAATGTAGTCGCGTTTGCTGAAGCCTTCGTTGTTGTGTCCAGCTTTGTGATAGGTGCGACAGAGAGCAGTAAGGAGTTCCCTACAAACCACTTCTCATTCCAGACAGCAGGAAGCTTGTTGCAAGCAAACGTCTGTCTTTCATTTAGCATGCGTTATGACAATTTGTATATGTTATGTGTACAAACTTTAGACTGTTTTTTTTTTTTCTTTTTAGAGGGGGGGGGGGGGGGGGGGGGGGAGAAAGAAAGGAGAAGGAGAGACTTGTCGTACAGCCTGTTTGTAATGGGGTATTTGAATCACTGGTGTACAGCTTTTGAGATTTGGGTGTTTTAATTATTGCCTCCTGGGTGCCCTCTTTTGTGCATAACTTTGACTCGTGTTGTTTTCAAGGATGCCGGGATTAATGATTCCCGAAAACAAAATATCCTTGCGAAAGGAGATACATTTAGACAAGGTGTTTTTTTCACCGACAGCGTTTGCCCCTGTACAACTATGCTCGGCTTCCCATTGTGCCACCTGTCGAAAATGAGGAATGGCCGATCCATTACTGCATGGAAGACAGAAGGTCAGCTAAATTGGCAAGCTTTCTGTGAAGTAGAATCGCTGCCGACTGTATGACAATGATGAAATTACGGGATATTCACTGCAGGGTCACATTTTTTTATGGAAATTATGCTTTGCAGATGTGTGCAAAGGAAAGAGAGTTCCCGAGAAAAGAGAACAGTTTTTTTTGGCCCGGGTAAATAAACTGTGCATCGCACGAAGCTCAAACTTCATGAGAGTGTGACCCCAGGAGTTTGGATATTACACGAAAGTTTGAAAACACGACTCTACCTTGATCCAAAGATAATTGAGCCGACAACCACCTAAGCCTAATATCGTCAAAACAAGAAAGGACACTGTGGGCACATGAAGCATCTATTTCAGTGAACAAAACTTCTCAGCAAGAAAGACTATATTGTTTTCTTTCTTGCTGACAAGTTGTGTTTCACTAAAAAAGATAGAACAGGTGCAAACAGTGTCATTTCTTAATTTCACAATATTAGGCTTAGCTGGGCATCGGCCCATAAACAAATTTTGTTTTTTCTCAATTATCTTTTGACCCAGGTGACGTTATTTTCTCAAACTTTAACGTTCTATCCCAATTGTTAGCATTACATTCTCACGAAGTTTGCGCTTTCTGCTATGCATAGTTTATTTACTTGAACCAAAAAACTTGGTTCTCATCTCTTGGAGACTCCCTGTAGTTAATGCTACTACCAATTTCAAAGGATGTCTAATTTATTTTTAGCCTTGGGTCAACTGACTTCAAATTTTCACTGCCTTTATGCGCAAACCTCAGAAGAAAGGTCACAGACGGAAGTCTTGTAGCATGACTGCTGCTTGAGTTCGGTGAAGCCTTTTTGTTAGTTTGCTTTTTATTCCTGTGAATTATAATGGCCGGTTTTATACTGAGTGAGAAATGCTATCTACTGCCATGAAAAAAAAAACTTGTTCACCCGGTGTCATTGATCAGTTGTCACTGTTTTTAACCTTTTATTTTGTTGGTGTTGTCTGCCTGTTTTATTATTTTAAGTTTTTGCCTTGTAGGTTTCGAAAATGACCCCTAACAAATGACGCATTTCAAGCTTTGTCTTCGCTGCTGCGACGAAAGACTTGAGAAACTCGGCATAATATTTAGTGTGACACTCCCCAACAAAAATATCATTGTTTGTGAATGCAAAGTTTGTTGATGCGGCAAACCTTCTGTGGTTCCGAACAAAGCTACCACCGCTGAGTGGTGCATCTCACACTCGGAGGGACTCGCAGTCATTCCTCCATTGTCTACTTGGTTGCACTTTGGCGAGGCTGGAGCACAGTCAATACAAACCATGTCACATAGGGCTCAGAAGTGCATGGTTTGAACCATTGGAATTTGTTTCTTGGTGCATGGTGCCGCAGCTGAGTGCCGGGATGAAGTTGGACTGTGTATACCATAACAGAAGTTTTAAAATGAGATCTTGGCTGAACCGAAAATGTACGAGAGATCTGTTCTGTGGTGGCACCTTGCTGAGGCAATAGGCCCATCTGGTTACAAAACATGCTTCATGGTAGCAGGTAATTGCTGTTTTGAGCAAGGTACAAATTTCGTTTATGCTTTTCCTTAGCCTACGAAAACAACTCTAGTTTGAATGCCATATTCGCAACGTCGCCGTTGAACCAATGAAAGTTACTTTGCGCCAGATTACCAGTGCGCCACAAAGAAATTTGGAAATTAGTGCACTCCACACAAAGTGTTGCCGGTTCCTTTGTGACGCCCTGTCGACGACAGGATGCAAGGCTTCGTGGCGTGTTCTAGCATTCCCAGGAGACTTTGTACGAACCCAGGCATTTCCAGGCTCGCTCGCTCCCTCTCGCAGCCCAGCAGTAGTCGCCAGTGGCGGCTTGCAGTGATAACCGCTTCGCATTCTCGGATGGCTGCTGCTTTCTTGCGGCCCTCCTTTTCTAAGCCACGGAGTATTTTGGTATACGAAAAACAAAACAGGAAAAGTGGCGACGCTGAGATGGCTGCCCTCTTCTTTGCCCGCTGAAGGGGTGAGCGTATGCTCCGTTCCTTTTTGCACATGCGGCGGGTTTTCGACGGGCGGGTAAAGTTGCACACGGCTTTTTGTACAAACGACATGTGTACGCACGGATGCGCCCATGCACACGCAAAGTGGGCACGACTGTACAGTGAATGAATGAAACGGCAATGCTCCTGTATATTATAGAGCAATAAAAAAATGGGTTCGCAAGCCAAGGAGTTTTGGTGAGAGGCTCGCTTTCTGTACGAGTTTTTTGTATGTGAAAAACTAAAATACCAAGCCCATGCCGAAATGAGCGCCCATTTGCTACTTTTGAAACATTCTAAAACTCACGTGGAATTCTCTTGGTAGATTTGGAACGATCCAAAAGCGCTGCGTGCTCGCGCCTTTAGTGCGGTAGATGAGAGCGAGCGCTCGAACGTTCAAGGTACGAACAGAAAAGTGCTTCAAAACCGCTCCAAATCCACCAAGGGAAGTCCCCATAAGCAAAGGACATAAGCGCCCACCCAAGACTTTCGGGTCTGACATCAACTATGTTGTCTAGGCTAGCTTTAAGGCTGGTTCACACGCTTGCATGGGTACGACCGAGTGCGACTAGAACGTTAATCCTCGTACGGGTTGCTATGGCAATGGGGTTTTAGGCCGCTTACGACCGCCATCGCTGCTGCGCGGCCCGGTCTAAAGCTGTCGCAAGAGGCTTAAAAATCGGTTGCAGTAGCACTCAGTCGGACTCGACGCGAGTGTGGGAATCGGCCTTGAGAGCACGTGGCTTCCTTACGCGTCTCGTTCGTGCACGCTCCCGCGCGAAGGAATCGCCAAACGAAGCCACGCGCTCGCGCAAGTAGCTTTGACAGCGGTGAAGCACTGTGGAAGCTACAGTGGCCGTGACATTGTAGTACAAATTTCTCTTCGTCGACCACTTCTTCGAGCACCCTGTGATCAGGGGCTCCGGAAGCGGGGGGGCAGGGTGGGCTTGAGCCCCTCCTGTCCTCAGGACCGAGCTGCCGAGCCCCCCCTCCCCCTCCTTTTCTTTTTTTTTTTTTAGTTTGTGTGTTTGCAGGTTATCTGTTATGGGCCTTCGGCCTATCTGCTGTACCTCCGTCTCTCCTGAACCGAAATAAATTAAATGAAAATGAAATGACCCTTTATGCACGCTGACCTACCACCCGCCTCATCTCCGCCAAGCACGAAAAGCACCGGGGCGAAGGAGAGACTTGCTTGAAAAGTCAAAACCAGAAGAAAATGACAGGCAGGACTCATGAACCTGATTGACAACCAGTTGAGAGCGAGCAAAGAGGGGACAGCGAAGTGAATGGATTCCGACAAGATGACGTCGGCGAGCGTTTGTCTGCTTCCCCCGTGTGGAAGCAAGAAGCCCAGAAGATGATGATGCTTCTGGCCCGCGGACAAAACAGGCAGGCGGTACTACCGCGGCGCTTAAAGGCCATCATTAGGAGAGGGGGGGCTGGTGAGCTTGAGTGGGGATTTGGGAGTGCTTAGAAGAGGCGAAAGGCTACGAGCTCCCAATTGTGACAAGGCGCCTTCGATGGCGAAAGCTTTGCGCTCATGCGGCGTTGTGCCCGCAGGGGGGTCAGGTATGAGGCGACACATGTTTACAAAACTCAGGAGAAATATTGAGAAAAGCCGACAGGAAAGAGGAGTTTGGTAGCTGGCCTGGAGCTCTGTGTTTGCGTAAATGAGATGCTATTATTTCGCGAGATCATTGTGATGTAGTTTGTAAATCTCACATAACACGCATCCACCGTTTTTACTCCGTAGTGTACTTTTTTGGTGGATGCCTTTTTCGGTGGATGCATGGAAATGATATCTATCAGCCGCGCTTAGCCGCTGCGCAATGCCAAAATCTTAGACTCTATGAAGTGTTTTGAACCGACCCGATGCGCACACAAGGACCCGATGCGCACACGAGGACGTAAGCAGTTAAAAGCGGTGGCCCACGAGTGTATGAATATTGGTTTTTACAGTGACTATCCAAGTCTAGCGCTATCACCAGTCGTCGCTGCGTTGATAAAAAAATTTGTGTGCGTGCCACTGGGCAGTGGCGATGCGAGCTCATGATTTTCTGGTATTTGTTTTTCACCTCTATAACTTCACTTTCACATCCTATTAGGAAAATGCGTTTGAGGCGGAAATCAGTAAGTAGTTAAATGGTTGGAATGATCCACTCTCTCGTTGCAACCGTCGGATTCAAAAGTGCTGCACACGTCGCGCTGCAACTTAATTATTATTTTTTTTTTTTTTGCTGGTGACGATTCTTTATTAATATTCTCTCCAAGCGCTACATGTTTCAAAACAACTTACAACCAAGGATTTGGAATACAATAATAAATATAAATATTAAAAAAAAACAAAAAAAAAAAAAACACAAAGCGTTTACTTCTACGAAAAGCGGGGGTTCACCGACCAGAAGGCAGGTCTCAAATAAATGTATTATGATGATGATGGTTACGTAGAAAATCACCACGAACAACTGAACAATTCTAGCGAATTACCACGATTGGAATATTATTAAACTTCACAATGCCTTGTACTCTGCGACACTGGGCATGACGTTTTCCTTGCATGATTGTCCTATTTTGGTTTGGATTTCTTATATCTAATTGTTTATATGTCTTTGCCCGTGACGTACGACGTTCTTTACCGTCGTACTTTGGTACCAAGCGCCCTATTAATGCAGTGGAAGCTATCTTGTCAATTGCCTCAGCGAGCGTTTCAAATCATGATACGTTTGCACACCCAACGTCACGCTGCCATATGCGAAGGACTCCTGTTTGCAGTACAGTATTACGTCAATGCAAGGCATCTATTCCGATCTTCGTTGTTAGCTCAAATTCCTCCGTTGTTCGATGTGATTGGATGAACCTTCTGTTCTGCAAGAAAATGAACGCGGAGGCTCCTAAACTGTGAAGGCGTCACGAAACTCAACATAAAGGGGGATTTCCGCACGAACGAAAGCCAAAGGGGTTTGGGTTTTCGAGTATGAATGGAAACTTCGCAGGAAGGAGACTGGCTGGTACAGCCTCCCCCAACCCTAACGCCGCCACGAGATAGCCCTCTCTGGTGACACTTTGACTTGTCGGTATACCCTAACCAGGGGAGGCATTCAAGCTGGTCTGTTGTCCGATTTATCTCTTAGCAAGCGGCAATATCTTAATAACTGGAAAATCAAGTGACGTCATTGAGGCTGGAGAGGAGCACTGTACTTACCTATCCTTATCTCGACTTCCTTTTTCAAACTAAAGTAAAAAAAAAGGCTGTTACAAGCCGGCAATAGTGACAGTATCACTTAGCGCCCTTAGCTTTAAGATGCGTCATCGATGCTATTCATGTATCGTGAAACCTGAAAGCACAAGGTGAATGCAACCGGTTCATTCAGGCTAAAATATTGTTTTTAGACAAAACCCCGAGACTGGGGGGAAAAAAGGACAACACAACACGAAGTCTCAAACACAGCTCTTATCCTTAAGCGCCTTCCTTTTGTGATGCCCCCCCAGCTTGCATTGACGCCAGGAGTCCGAAGCGATCACGGTAGATGTACTTGATCCTAAGGCACATACCGATGTACGTAATCTCTGCCTCCAATTGAGAATTCGATGGTCCAACTTGCTGTGTGTGAGACTTCGTGTTGTGTTGTCCTTTCTTTTCCGCGAGTCTCGGGGTTTTGTGTAAAACTTTTAACACTAGTTTGTCCACGTCTGCGTTAATACATCATGGTTCCCCGAGAATCCCTAAAAGAAGGTACGTTTTCCTTTTTAGACATAGCCAATATGGCATAGGCACAGCTGCGGTTGATATGTAAAAGTTGGTATAGAAAAGAAAAGAATAAAGAACGCATGGGGCGGCTGATTTAAGTGGTTATTCAATCATTGCATGAGTTGTCAGTGCAAGCTTCTTACTGTTATTTTACTGAACCATTGTTTTACTTTGTTTTCTATGGATAAGTGCGTGAATATGTGAACGCACTGCATTAATATGTTTTCATTCAAATATGGCAATTAATGTCAACCTGGAACCAACCTCACCTTGAGGATTTCAGGGATGTCGAGCCCCCCCTCGAAAGAAAGACTTCCGGAGCCTCTGCCTGTGATGAAGAAGCCCACCCTACCCTTCTGCCTTTTTGCCCTTGGAGAGGCTAACAAGCACCCATCCCCCAGTTTCTCAAGATTATCTACAAACTTCGGCTGGGCGCTTCTTCGGTATTTTACATACTATTGCACGAAGCACTCTCTTATCAGTGTTTGTGTGTGTGTGTGTGTGGGGGGGGGGGGGGGGGGGAGGAGGAGGAGGAGGAGAAGAACAAGCAGCAGGAGCTATTGTTGGCATGAAACAAAGGAAGATTAGGTTACGACGAAGAGGAAGGACGAGATGCGGAGCTAAGTTTGAGCCGAATTATCTTCTTTAATTAATAAGCCAGCAAAATCCCTGTCAGCATCATGCCACTGGGAGCCTCCATATTGGAGGGTTTCTGCCATCTTTTAAAGGGATACTTCAACGAAATTTGAAATATTCCCGTCGTGTTCAACAATAGGTTGAATATGATCCACAATATCCGTAAATGACAATCGCACATTTGTATTTTGAGCCTGGTGGCTGTATTTTTTGTTATAAACGGCCCACTCTGGCAAGCGCTTGGAGAAGGCCCAGCGGAGACCACGTGACATCCAACGCAATCGTGACGTAGGTCGTCTCAAGACGAGCAAAGCTACGGCGACGCTGACGTCGAGAGGATGGCCTAGTCGTTCCAGCCACCGAAGCGGCTGCTTTTGTACAAAGTTTGAGTGACGGATTAATCTTCCATAATCTTGTAGGGGGACAATAGCGACTTCTGTGACACACAAAAGGCATTCTCGGGAAGAGGGGAGTTCCTCCTGCCCCTCTTCTCTCGTCGTGGCCGGAGGCGAGACAACCTCCGTCACTAGCTGCCAAGGTTGCTAGACGGGCATTACAAGCGAGGCGTTCGCGACATCCACCAGGTGCTCTTTGCTAATCGTTTAATTCGTTTTAAAATTCCTTTTCGTGACTTTTTTAACAAGATATTGGTATGTTCGATTTGATGGTGCTTTTTTGAACACATATAGACCAAAAAATGAGCGCCGAAATTTCGTTGTAGTATCCCTTTAACATAGACCAGGCGGCGCATCGGCATTCAGCAGGTTGGGACAATTTGTACATTCGAACGTTGCTGTTTAGTTTAGGTGCAATGAAGA